AGAAGTTGCTTTTTATGAGGAAGTCTGGCTCGGTCTTAGGGCATGAGACATAAAATAGAAGATTGAGCAATTTTAACAAATAATTTGGAAATGTCAAAGCAGGGTCAATGATCAAGTGTGAGGCACATGATGTTGTTGGTGTCATAGAGGAAAGATCATTTTCTTACTCATACATTTGAACCCACATATTTGGATTGAACGCATCTATTTCATGTGACTAAGCAGTTTTCTCTGGGAAGCAAGTTTCCTAACCAAAGATTTAGGTCCTGTGTCTTTTGATAGCTAACATTGAAAAAGCATATGTGTAGTAAAAATACAAGTTTTCCCCACCATCTTTTTAGTTTAGTCTGCATTGAGTTTTTCCTTCTTCTTCCTACGTGAAGACTCCAGCAGCCTATAATTTCCTGTTCGTTCTTAGGTGCCAGAGGGTCTTTAGTTACCAAGTCACAAGTACAGTCAGAGGTGAAAATGAGAAAATCTGGTTCTATGCAATACTCCAATTTTAATTTGCTTTTAGCCCCCAACCCTAGCCTGGGTGACCTCTCTGGATCTGGCTTTAGGATGGAAGCCTGCAGTAAGGTAAAGAGTATTCCTTTCCGTTTCTCCATTTTGTATTTCTACTCCTCCTTGCCCATCTTGGTAGTTGCTGTTTTAATCGCACAAGGGTCCACTGGAGTAGAGATCAAAAGAAAGCGGTGAAGCATCGGGAACTTTTTTACTTGATCTAGGCCTCATCATTAGGCCTAGAAGATGCCTTTTCCCCATGAGATCCTATTTTCTTAGACTTTTTATAGGTTTCCTGTGGTTTCTCTTTCTCCTGCAATTCTTGTGGCTCACAAGTATGCTTACAGTTTTTCTTTTCTTTTTTTTTCCCCCTTTTCTAAGAGTCACTGTGACTCCTTCCTCAGCTTCTAGACATCAAAAGTGCTTTTCCAAGTTCTGTCAGCCTCTTCCAGGTGCTCTGTTGGATAAGACTTGAGGAGTCCCCATATTGGTTCACCTTTTGTCTCTTGCAAGGTACAGTCATGAACACTTTGGCTGGGACTGTCACATGTCCCAAGGCAGCAGTATCTTCTGGCTGTCCCTCCAAAGCAGTCATTTGTTGTCTGAAGTTTTAGATACCGCCTTCCTTTCAGGAGTTAGACCCTGACCACAGTGTCAATTTCACTTTTCTCAAGAGTAAGTTGGCATGTGTGTGTGTGTGTGTGTGTGTGTGTGTGTGTGTTAGCCTTCCTTCCCTTTTTCTTTCAGTACTTGGAATTGAACTCAGAGCCTGACACCATAAGGCAAATGCTCTACAACTAGGCTACATCACTAACCCTTTTTTTACTTTAATTTTTTATTCTAATAGAGGTTTGCTAAGTTGCCCAGGCTGGCCTGGGACTCGGAATCCTCCTGCCTCAATCTTATTACAGGTGTGCTCCACACCTGACTCTCAAGAAACACATCTACTACTGTTCTCTGAGGGTTCCCTTCCCTTTGTCCAGGGTTAGAGGATTGCACTTCCTGCTGACTCCCTGACAGCGTGGAAGGCTTTGAAAATTATTACTCCCTGCCTGCAAAAGATCTCTTCTGTCTCCATTCCGTGACCTTTCTGCTATGTTCTTCCATGTTTAGTTGAGAAGTTCAAGAATTACACACAGGTTCTCCAGGACATTTGCTTTGAAGATCTCTATGACAGTTTGGCACCTTTCTTTGGAATTTTGCCTCTATTATATTTTGCTGCTTGGTAGAAACTTCAGTTTTCAGATCCTTTATACAAGTAATGGACAAACATGATTCATGGGCCAATCCTTGAACCACAGGCCATTTGTATAACATTTGACTTTATTAAAGATTTTGATTTCTGTGTGCATTGTGTAAAAAAATTTTAAGATGAGTGGGTGGTGTAGGAATCTCTTGAATAGTTTTATTAATCTTTGACTAGCTCTGTATTTAGCAGTTGTTAACCAGAGTTGTAAGCATATGGAGTTCATAAAATAATTTGGAATAAAATGCCTTACAGAGTGAATACAATGGATATTTTATTATAATAGTAGTAGATTGATTTTCCCCAAGGGCATCATGTGCTTCTTGAACACTAAGATCTCTTCAAGCAGGACAGAGTAGTGAGTCTATGATTCCCTGGCAACACAAGAGGCAAATTCTCTCAAATTAATTCCTTCAGCAGCTGACTACTCTAAACATGGTCTTAATGGGCACCATAATAACATGTTTTGGTGAAATTAGAAGGGAGGAAAAATTGATGGATGGCCCTATTGTGCAGTTGGGATATCCTTACAGGGTTGCCTGAATCCACACAGCAGAGAGAAGAGTGAAGGAAACACCACTCCGAGGTCCCCAGATGTGGTATAACTGAATGATATGTACTGCTGACTGTCCCTGACCTCTGGCATTAGGAGTGAGAGCCAAAAAGGCTGTGTGTTTTAGAGATCTTTCCCTAACTTCTTGTTTATTTGTATAAAACTAGGGAAATAGTTGAATAAAGTTCAAGAGAGTTTTTTTTTCATTTCACTTCTCTGGAGACCTGAATCATGGAACTGGAAGGCACTTGCTTGGTGTTTGATTGTTAAAGTGGTGACTCACTAAGCTGGTGTCTCTCAGCCTTTTAAAATTTGTAGCATAAAATTTCCCACTTTCCTGAAGAATCTGATTTTCTCCCTGCTCCCCATTTTGCAGCCTCCTTGACATAAAAGCTTTGTGATCTCATGGCAATGCAAAGGATATTGCCAAGCTTATTTTCTTTCTATGGTTTCTGTTACAAAAACAATAGGCATGTGTAGGTTTTCAAAATATATAAGCATGTATTATATAATTGAATGTGCTTTTGCACTTTATACTTTTGCATGTTAATATGCCAGGATTTATACAAAATGCTATAAATTTCAGAGGGCTCTAAACTTTTTGAAAGCATTTATGAATTCCAAGCTGTTTCTTCCAACTCCATATGGCTTAGTCATGGCCATTTTAGAAGATCTTTTTCCACCCCCTTGTAGAACCATAGTTTTAGAAATCTAGGGGGCCTTTCAGATCACTTAATCCTGTCTGTGCATTTCATAGCAGTTGACATCTAGAAAGTTTAATCACCTTTTCCCAAAGTTACACAACTTTGTTTTCACTGTGGATCCTAAGCAAGAACTCAGGTGGTTAAATTACCTGTTATATTGTCAGTCATGTGAGTCTTCTGGACTTTATCCTACCCCCCTTAAGTACAGCAGCCAAAACTATAAAACAAAATGCCCATATAAAAACCCTGTACAAATACTTCTTATTCTCTTATATATACGACTAGTATGTTGCCTATATTTTATATAGCTTCAGGGCTGAGCAAATAGTTGACTGCTATGGACCCAATTTTTGTCAAGTATTGTAAAGGATACAAATGAATGAACAAAATAACATAACTCCTCACTTCTAGTAGTTTCATATTGAACAAGCACAGTTTATACTCAGCTTGTGATTAGCCATAATCTCTGACCTTTTCAGTGCCTTTGTAGTATATTCAACCTTCACCCTCCTCTATAATTTATGACTCTTAATTTCTTCTGTATTAAGAATGATTTGTGAGATTGGAAGGATATAGAATTCTAAACTGATTTATCAGTAAATTTAGTTGCTAATAATATAAAAGTTCAAACAGCAGTACAATGTATATAGTGTTTTTTTTCTAGGTGGAGAAACTGAGGCTCACCAAAATTATGTGGCTCCCCTGGCAGCAGTTGATCCAGTCAGTGACAAAGGATCAAGGTCTCATAGCTAAATTGGTCAGCATAATAGCTCACAGTCTTCCTTCTGCTCATGCAAACAAGAGTATAATAAAATTTTTAAAAGTAAATAGGATGAATCAAACTATTTATAAATTCAGTTTTGTCACTCTGATGTTATAGGGACCGCAAACTGTCTGTCTGAGAGTTTTCTGAATGTGCTGACTGCTCTGTGTGTCCTTGCTAACATGGTGTGAATTGCTCTGAGTATAGAGGCCTTATTATGATGCAGAAGGGATTCACAAAGGTAATGGATAGACAGGACATACTCACTTGAATTAATCTTTTATTTATCTAAGACTTGGGCCTGAAGCAAGGATAGCTATATCAGAGACAAAAAGCCTCCGTGCTCAGTAGTAAAATCATCCAAAAGCCTGGGAGTGGCCCAGGATTTAGCTCAGTGGTGCCCTGCCTGTCTCATAAGCACAAGGCCCTGACTTTTATCCTGGTACCACAAAAAAAAAAAAAGCCCAGGAAATGGGATATTGAGGCTGCTGCTTCCTAGGACCCATATTCTGTGGGACTCAGGCAGTGTCTGCAGAGGCTAACCTGTGATCTTGTTTGCTTAGGGGCTTTTGTACCTGAGTTTTAGCCTATAAATTATCATTTCATTGTGGATGTCGCTCTTTGTATTTTTCCATGGCAGTAGGAGAAGAATCAGTAGAGATTTGATAAATCTACCCATATATAATTGAAAGTTGATTTGTTCAGTTAGCATGTATATATATATTCTTTCCACTCAAGATTGTCCAAAATAAACTTTTAGTAAATTTTCAATCAAGAGAAAGAAGGACCACTTGAGGACAAGAAAGAGAAAGGTAGTCATTCATCAGATTAACTTGTATTTTGATGAAGGGTAAAAGCAAGAGACCATTCTTAAATAATCTAGTCTTTAAAAGGCCTGTTTCTCAAAAGTTTGACATTGTATATTTGCTATATTTGTTCTTCTTTTGTTTATGAAACCTCTTAAAAAGTTTATTATGTAATGACACAAATATTTTGTGCTTGAAAATTGAAGAGTTATGTTTTTATTTTAGGTCTTACAAGAATTCTTAGGTGCAGTGAGAACTGGAGTGTGTGTTATGGGGAAGATAGTGAAGAAGATGCAGGAAAGCATCTTGTTCCTTCCCACCCACACACCAAACTTAATTATAAGGCACAGTCTTTCAAAAAAATTTTTTGGTTCCATTGGTTTGAGACAAAATAAATAATTTTTCCCCAAAAAATGTATTTCAGAGCCCTGATAGCATCTCAAATGGAACCAACATTTGCCAGGAGTGTTTTTCCTTGTTTTGATGAACCAGCTCTTAAGGCAACTTTTAATATTACAATTATCCATCATCCAAGTTATGTGGCCCTTTCCAACATGCCACAGCTAGGTAAGCAATGTTTTCTGTCATTACATAAATAAAAACTTTGTAATAGCTTTTATGGCAATAGTTTTTCTAGGCAGCAAGATAGTAAAGTTTTTTCTTTTTTAAATAACTGGGGAGAGCAGTCATATGGGATAGCTATATCAGTGCCCACATCTTGGAAATGGTAAATTCTAATTCTCCCTGTCTTTGAATCCGAGGATGTGATTCTGGAGATGTGATGCTGTCTGTATAGACTGGCTGCCTGCCAGCCCCTTAGTTGGGCTTTAGCTATTGATCATTAGTGATAACAGGCTGGGGGGACTGGATCTGAATCTGATGCACAGATGTTCTTTATTTGGCTCACATGGCTTCTTTCTTTGATTGAATTAGTCTCCACCTTTTAAAAAGCCTGAGATTTTACATAAAAATCTAGATTTTTATTTCCTTAAAAACTTGAAAGATCTGACCCCCTGCCCTGCAACTCTTACATGATAGTCATTAGTAACAGCTGAGAAGAAGCTGGCTCCTTCTGACTGGTCAGTGGTGCCCATGGCTCCCAGTTATGTACACACCCAGGTCACAGAAAATGCCCAGTCCTTATAAACATTTGTAATTTCTGCCTTAATCTCCTGATTACTTCTTTGGAAGACCTGATTGAAATTGGAGAAGAGCAGATTTGCACATTATCGACCTACCACAGACCTAGGCAGCTCCAGATCCAGTGCTCTGAGAAGCAGGTTGGACTAGGAAACAGAAGTGGGTGGAAGAGAGAGAAGGCAGATTTGGGCCAAATTTGCTGCATTCATGGATTCAAGACTCACTCAAACCCACGTTACTCAGGGTGGTAATTCAAGCCTAAGATGCTTCCTTAGATCCTCCTAATGTACTATTTATTTTTAAAACAATTACAGTCATATCAACTGTATACATTTAAGGGGTATGGTGTAATGATTTGATACATGTACCCAATGTATAGTGATCAAAATGGTTATTAGCATTCCCATTTCCTTAAACATCTTAAAAAATATTTTTGATCAACAAATAATTGTATGTGTTTTTGAGGCACAGCATATTTCTACACATGTATTCATGTGTGCTAATCAAACCAGGGTAATCATTGTTTGTATTTCCATATTGTTACTTTGGGTTTGGATCCTGGGTGACCATTTTTAACAATAACCTACCACTGTTTTAATGTTGTAGGGTAGGTAGGGAAATTCAAATTTTAAGACCATGGAGAGCAGTTGGGAAGGAGTACCTGGGTGACAATTGGCTTGACAGAGTCTTTCAGAGGTAGGTGTTTTTATCTAGTTTTACAGTGATTTGGACTAAAATAATTTCCCTAGGTCAGTCAGAAAGAGATGTAAATGGAAGCAAGTGGACAGTTACAACCTTCTACACCACTCCTCACATGCCGACTTACTTAGTTGCACTTGCCATATGTGACTATGACCAAGTCAACAGAACGGAAAGGGGCAAGGAGGTGAGTAGGGAAGATTGTGCAGGTAAGGGACACTGCGCTGGCTATGGGTTGCCTATCTGCTCTGCCTACATTCAGGAATTATGTCTACACATCCTATTGTCACCTCTGGGCTCTTTCATCCAAGCACTGTTACAACCCTTAGTGAGGCTTTGCAGAGCAGGACGTGACATTTCCTGCTACCACTCTGTGGAGGTGTTTCTGTGGAAAGACTGAACTCTAAGCCCACTCTTCATGTAGATTTCGAGCTCCTTTTTCCTGTTTCTGCCTTTTCAGAGGTCAAGAGAGAACAGAGAAGGCTGTTACACTGGCACCTGAAACTCGGGTTTAGTAGTTGTTGTTTGCTTAGCTTAAAGTGTTCATATAACCTGGAAGCTCAAAGTGTTTAGCATTGAGTGTGGCTGAGACATCAACCAATCTAAACAGATATCAGGAGCAACCATTGTGGTTGAAATGCAGGCTATACATCACTCTAGTCTCGGAGCTGGGCTGCTGTGTTCCTCAACTCTGGGCATGTGGCACTTCCCTAGGGTTGTGTAAAGTGTGTGGGGGGTGCTCTGTCCTCAAATCCTGGTTGCCCTCCAGTAATATCCTTATTACATTGTAAGATTTCAGGAAAGTATCCATCTTTTCTATGCTTGTTCACTCATTATTAGAGTGTGGAGCTATGCAATGTGGCTGCCTGAGGCCCTGTTCCTTCAGTCACATCATAGGACTTTTGGAAGAAAAAAAAAAATCAGGCACTACAGCTGAGCCACTTTCAGGTCTTAGCTCTTACAGGCTTGTACCATTGAGATGTGAAGAAAGGAAGCTGGGGTGAACCATGGCCACCACTGGGGGCAAATCATTCCACGCCACTCCTTCTACATTCTGCTAGCCTAATAAAGTAATAATACTGTGTTGTATGTAAACAACAGCTTATCTTCCTGAGCTACTGACTGTAGTCTGATTGCTGCCAGTGAATAATTATGAGGAGATCCTTAACTTTCAGATAAAACAGTTGGCCAAGTGAAAAGTTCATGACATACATTGATGAACCTGTTCTGCATGATTTGGAAATGCGTGCTTCGGACCTGGAAGAAGGAATGGGCCGCCATTTCCCATAGCTAGTGAGAGACACGTCATGGTCCCTCAGTATCCATATTTCAAGTGTCTTGTAGTAAGTGTTGCTGCTTGGCCATCATTTGCTACATAGGGATAAAGTCTGTTTTTCATGAAAAATCATCCTGTGAAGAATGCAATCTGCCATAGAAACAGAGAGGAAATGGATCATGCCTAAGAAAGTAATATTCTTAGCCAGAAAACTTAAAGTTTGGGCTGAGTCTATCAATGGAATGTTGCATTTGGCTATGACTCAGCTCCACAAAGTGAGTAAGTCCATCATGTACTCTATAGGGAAACCAAAATGTATGGTTGCAATAGTGTTCAGCCTATCCACAGGTTGCTGGTTAGGTAAAAGATTAAGATTCAGTGAAGTTGAGAATATGGCCAGTGTTAAGCACAAGAATAAACATGGAAACATAAGTAAAGATGAAAATAACATATTTTGCTTAAACTTTTGACCCACAGGGGCATTGGCCAAGATATTCTTCTCTTAGATGTCAAGAATCTGCTATGTCTGGTGAGGGCTGCCAGAACCCACTGGTGGGCCAGGTGTAATTTTGAAGGACTTTTTGACATACATGGTCATTTATGGGAAATTGTAAATAAAAAAAAAATAGTGTGCAAATATTACCCAGTAATTCTATTATTTTCCAAAAGGCTACTGTTAAAGTACAGTGGGAGACATGACTACTGTTTTACCTAGTAGAATGGTCTTCAGTTGAGCAGGCTTCTTGTTACTTCAAAAGTGAGAGCTTGGGAAGCGGGGGTGTAGGTTTATTGCAAAGGCAGGGCAGAGTCTGGGGCTAACTTTCCCAACACAAAGAGGCCTCTGCAGCACAAGGGAGATAGAAGGCAGTGAAGGGATTCAAGCTAGAGCCTCAAACACAGGTGGTTGCATTTTGTGAAAGAAGAGCATTCCTAAACCCTCACGTAACTGAAAGTTCACATAATTCAAGTCCAATTTTCCAGCAGAAGTATAAGTATAGTTAGGCCAGTGTGCTCTTGGAGTACATAATTAATCTGCAACTGTTATGCTGCTTTTTGTTTTCCTTAGCATTTCCTCCAATATTTTGCACAGAGCTTTTTCATAAATTAATGCACTCACATCTGGACAAATATTTTAATCTCACCTCAACTCTTACTCTAAGATATTTTGATTTCATGCATGGTTAGTTTTATTTTAAAATTTGAAAATAAGGTGAACTATTATGCTTTAATTATTGAACCATTTTAATATGCATGATTCAAATTTGCTTAATATGCACCATACCGTATAAACATCACGAACAGCACAATTCTGTTTTGAATCATTAGAAATATGTCCTAAAAAGAGAAGAAATTGCCCAAAGTGCCCTTTTACAAAGAATCCACATTTTGGGGATAGTAGTATGGATCATTCCAAGGGTTGTTTTATAATTATGGAAATATACAAGTTATTTTCAAAGGTTGACATAACGTATTTTCTAGGGTAGTCACTGTTCTTTATTAGTGAACTGCCTCCTGGATTTTCTCATCACATGTATGCACTTAAACATTCTAAGCATGTAACTTCTTCTGAAAAAGTAAGACTGGCTTTTGAGCAAGAGAGATGGAACAAGCAGGCTACCAAGTCACTTTCACAGCTATGGCTATAACATCCTGAAAGCCCCTGATCTCAGAAGCTACGAAAGATCCAAAGCTAAGCAGGATCTGGCCTGGTTAGGACTTGGTTGGGAGAAAAAAGTTGCTTTCACATTCCTAATTACTGCATTATTGTTTTTATTTAGATACGCATCTGGGCCCGGAAAGATGCCATTGCAAATGGAAATGCAGATTTTGCTTTGAACATCACCGGACCCATCTTCTCATTTCTAGAGGATTTGTTTAATATCAGTTATCCTCTTCCAAAAGCAGGTGAAACATCTTTTCTTCCAGTGCAATTTTTTTTCTTATTATGGGACCCATGAGTTGCAGTTACAGATAAGCCTTTAAAGAGTATTTTGGAGTTAGACTCCTAGCCTCTCATCATTAGACTTTTCACCTTTCGAAACACAAAGAGACCCAGCTGCTCTTTCTTTTTTGTATGCCATATTCTCAGCAGGTATTTAAGAACTTTTGGGTTTTAAACCTCTCGGCTCCCAATAACACCCTTGCCTCCTTCAGATCCTGACCTTTCTCCTGGGTTCTAGCTTTTTCTCATAATGCAAGTGTGTAGTGCTGTGTTCTGGGTCCTTTTAGCAAGTGGCCTTGCATGACCTATCCTAGTTTCCTTTAATAAATTTTTTTCAAAAATATTCTTTAGCTCTGAGTCATTGGGTTAGGACTTGGTGATCCCATCTGTGAATTTTCAATGTATAAAATTGGAATCATGTGTGAATATAATATGATCCTTGAGAAAATATGTGAATATTTTATCTCTCATAGATCCATATGGTATGTGTGTAAAATTATATGAGCCATTCAGCTCAGAAAGTTGTTCAGTGATTTTTATTCTCCTGAATGGACAGCATCAAGTAAATGTATTTTGTTCTTTTGACTTGTTAATGGGAGTCCTGGAAACAGCATGCTCTGCCTATTCTGGAGATGGTAGAAGAAGATGGGGAATAAGTATTTGGAGTATGAGGCTCTTGAATACTAGGAATCCAGAAGCTCTGTAATCTAGCATTCTCTCTAAAGAAGAATGAGGTCTGGAACCAGCCACAGCCTAGTCAGATTCTAGAGGTGACATCTATCATTTAGAGGGCTGGAGGCAGCAGGAGTGTAGGCTTTCAGACCAAACTCCTAGCATTAGGTGCTGGAGGCTCACAAGGTGATCCTTGTCTAGGCAAGAAAAATTTCACTTGTGTCATTAGATAAGAAGTCCACAGTCATCCTCATTCTTTTCAGGTACTCCCTCCATGCAGAGTCCCTCTTCCACTTTGTTATTGCCTTCCCCACTCACTTCTTTCCCAGTCCCTGGTCGTTCCCAGTTTACATCACCAACATCTCCATCAGGAGTCCTCCTATGGTTTCGCCTCCTTTTCTTCCCTTTTGCCCCTTCTGTCCATCCTCCCATACAAAGCCAAAGGAAGGTTTTCAGAGAAAACCCTAATCGTGTTATTGTCCTCTTTAAAACCTCTCTGGAGCTTCTCATTGCCTTGAAGATGAAGTCCTAGCTCTCTCTTTATCATGCCTTTAGAACAGTGTGCTTACTGCATCAGGGATTCTGGCAGGTTTTAATGAGTATCTCTGTGCTCCCTCCTATGCTTTCACCTTCTCCTGCTCTCCAGGTCTTGAACCTGCAATCTGCATTTCCTAGAATGTCTTCTATGCAGCTGGTTAACTCAGTACTTACGTTTGTAGACTGAGTGCTCCCTCCTGGGGGCTGCCTTTCTGGACTCCTAATGGTCTGTCCTGTTGGGTCAGGGGAAACTTAGGCTTAGCATCTGGATTGTCTTTGTCTTTGTACCTCCAGTGGCCATGGTAGTGCTCCTCTCAGCTGTTAACCAGTAAACATTTTGGGGTGGGAGGAATGAATACATGCAGTTAGTTCATCCTGACGAGATAATAAACTTCTGGGTATCGGGGTTATATGCAGCACTTTAAAAAGTATGCTTCATAGCATCTTAACTAATGTTACCTTGTGAACACCCGTAGGTAGCCACTGAATTAAAAATTCACTTTGGTTGATAAGTGATTATATAGTTTCTCTACTGATGGTTCTTTAAGATAAAGGTAAACAAATATATCTTAATTACTTTAACTTAGGTTAAGTAACTAATAAAATGAATACTTTTCCCACCCGCATTTCCCACATAGGTCTTTCTTTTGGTCTTGGTGAGTCAGATGAAAGCCATTGGTTAATTTATCCCTTGTGTATATCTTGTAGCTTGCTCAAGACATTCTGAGCCTTAGAACCTAAGGTAATATAGACCATATTTATGTTTTTATCATAAAGAACAGTATTTTTTCTGATATTGCTGTCATTTTAACTCACTCTGTTTAAAGTCAAAAGTGAATTGAAAAATCACAGTATTTTAGAAAATGGTAGAGTTAAGTGTTTGGGTTACAGGTTTTGAAAGAAAAAGTGTTTAATGCTTTTAAGAATAAACAAGGATATACTCCTAAGTGAAATAAATAAGTCACACATGTGTAAATACCGAATAGTTTCTCTGGTGTGAAAAACTAAAATAGTACTCAAGATCCTAACGGGATAATCAGCAATGTGAAATAGGAAGAAAAGGGCTAAAGGTGTAGGGACAGTGGGAAGGGGAATAAGGGAAAGGGAAAAAAATGTGAGAACATGTAAAAGTGGAATTAAAGTGTTGGTAGGTGGGGAGGGGAGGAGACAGTAATGAATGTAACTGTACTGTATACCTAGAATGTACCAATAAATTAAAAAAGAATAATAAATAAAAGAATAAACAAGGACATTTAAGATTTGCAAAGTTGTAAATGGCAGCTTCCCTTTTATGTTTTGATTCTACTCTTAACTTATAATAATAATGGACTGTGTTATACACTCCTGAGTGGTATATATTTTTAGAGAAATAAAACCCAAGTACAAGGTAAATCATAAATCAGAGAAAAAGATGATAACTGTGAAAATTTACTGCGTAAATACTGGGTACCAAATACATTCCCAGATGCTCTATGAATGTAAAAGTAGCAAGTGGCTGGGACTTTGTGCAAGTAACCAGGTAGAGTAAACAGCTACTTTGCAAGTAACAAAGTATAAAGTGCTAGCTAAGTAAAAGTCTGAAAAGAAAGAGGATGAGAAAGTGGTAGTTGGAGTGTCCCAAATGTATAAAGAACATCTAAAAATAAACAAGAATATACAACCCAATAGAAGAAGAAACAAGTAAAAGATATATGAAAAGAGAATATATGTAGCTAATAAATTTATCAAGAGACACTTCATGAATAATTTGAGAAATGCATATCCAAAGCCATAGTGATGCATCATACTTCCTCAGTTGTCAAAAGGTAAACACTGGAACACAGTGTGCTGGTGCAGGCCTTTAATGTGCATGCCTTTAATGCTGGTGCATGCCTCAACTCAGGGGGTTGAGGCAGTAGGACTGCAAGATTGAGGTTAGCCTGAGCTACATAGCAAGTTCAAGGCCAATCTGCATTGCATACAAGATCCTGGTTCAAACAACAATGAAAATGGCAAACATCTAGCAAATGGAAAGTGTTAGGGAGGATTCAGTGTTGTTAACAGGAATGTTGGCTATTATAACCACTGTGAAATGTATTTATGATCTTACAGTGCTGACCATTAGTATACCATCAGCCCAGTAATACTATTCCTATGTATATCCTCAAGAGAATTTAAGCACATGTGTACCAGTAGACGTGGACATGAATGTTCACAGCTATGCTTTTTATCATAATGCTAAAGTGAAAAGCAAGAAAATGGTCTTGATAAAAGGATTGATAAATACATGGTTATACATTCACACGATAGAAATCTATATAGCAATGAAGCTATATAGATTTTCTATATATTTTTGTAAAGTTTCAAACATAGAACTGTTACAGCAGGTGTGTGTGTGTGTGTGTGTGTGTGATTTCTTTGAAGCAAGGAATAGTAAACACAAAATGTGAAAAGAAACATGTATTCCATAACGCTCAACATTTTTGATAGCTGGTCTTTTAGAGAAAAAGTTTGCCAATCCCTGTTCTACAGAGCTAAGTGGTAGATTCATGGATATTTATATTATTATTTTTAAATAAAACAGGGTCATGTGTGAACCAGTGATAGCTCACCAGGAAACACAGATTTTGCTTAATCTAATTCTATACATCTGAATAAAAGAGTTTAAAAATAGTTTCCAAGAATAGTAAGTGATGACTTTTGTAACAACCATAGGTTGAGCAGAGGAATTCCTGGGATTGCAAATAGCATGCAAATAAAAAGGCTCTGGTTGTGGAGAGGCAAAGGGGTTGACTTGGCTGAGGAGAACAGTCTTTTGTGAGAAAAATGAATAAGGTGGTAGCCAGCATAGGTAAGAAGGGAAGTAGGAAATTTTGGAGAATGAGCAACCTAGGATAAGCAACTCAGTCCATGTGTAGCACTCACTGATGTAGGCCATAAGAGGACTGGGATGGACTTTAACCACTAACTGCGTTTCAGCTACATGAAAATGCAAGTGCTTAATGCAGTACATATCAGGACATTTGTTTGCAAAGGTTGGCATTAGGACAATAGCAATGATATTGTTCTTTTAGTGATAAATGTAATAAACGATCACAATGTAGGAGGTTTGGACAAATATATAGAAAGACACAAAAAAGAAGAAAAATCTATTGTAATACTGTCACACAAAGCTAATCATCATTAGCATTTCGGTGTATATCTACCCAAGGTCTGTTGTCTCAATCTCTGTGCTCCTCTTAACAAAAATGTTGCAATAGAGTTGACACTGCTCTTTGAATGGCTTTTTTAAAGATAACAGTACACTCAACAGGGAGCAGATAACTAAATCTTATTTTGTATTGTCATTTCAGACATGGAATTCCCATATATCATTTAACAAAATAATTTATTTAAATGTATTTAATCCTCTGTGGTTGAACACTTGGATTGATTTTATTTTCTTGGCTACTTTAAAAATACTAAAGCTGGGCGAGGTGCCGCCCTCTTGTAATCCCAGCACTCCAGAGGCTGAGGCAGGAGGATTGCCATGAGTTTGAGGCCAGCCGGGGCTACATAGTGAGCTCAAGGCCAGCCTGAACTACATGGTAAGACCCTGTCTCTACAAAATAAAATAAAAATATTAAAGAAAATCCTTATAGGAAAATGTTTCCAAATATCTGTGTTATTTGTATTAGTATAAATTCCAAAAGTAGAATGATTTAGTATAAGAGTATAACCATTCTGAGAACCCTGAAGCACTTGCTAGATTACTGCAGAAATGCTATATTATTGGCACCCTTGCCAACAGTCTAGGTGCCATTTTTCCTACATCTACACCAGTAATCATTATTGATCTCAGGCATTTGAAAGAATGCTATATGATTTTACGTTTTATTTCTTGATGGATATTTTAAATAACATTTTGACTATTTGAATTATTTTTTTGGTGAGTTGTTTTTGTTTGTTTATATTTGAGATAAGAGTCCCACTATGTTGAGCAGTTTATTTGAGAACAGCCTAGGCAGGGATCCTCCCATCTCCCATCTCAGCTTCCTGACTATGCTTTTTCTTTTAGGTTTGTCAGTGTTCTTTAAATTTTTTTTCAAAAACCTAGTTGTTGTGGTATATATTACAAGTATTTTTCCTAGTTTGTGGTTTGCCTTTCAAATTTGTTCATGGTGGGGTTTTTTTGGGTGAACTATTTACTTTTAAATAGACTTTATGCTTCAGAGCATCTTTAAATTTACAGGGAAATTATGCACAAAGTACAGAGAGTTCCCATATATCTTCTCTCCACTGTGCCTTCTCACCACCCTATACCCTATTGTTAACAGCTTCCTCTACTGAGGTATATTTGTCGTGAGTGATGAACCCTTGTCAACACATTGTTACTAGCTGCAGTCCTTAGTTTAAATCAGGGTTCACTCTTCATGTTGTATACCTCTATGTGTTTTGGTAAGTATATGATGATGTGTCTCCGCCATTACAATGTCATACTGAACAGTCTCACTGCCATAAACATCTCCTGTGCTCACTCAGTGATCTTTTCCCCTTTCCCTATATCTTGGAAAACTATTGACCTTTTCACTTTATTTATACTTCTACCTTTCCCACAATGTCATGTAGCTGGAATCACAACTGTATGACATGTAGTATGTATGTATCAGCTTGTGGCCTTTTCAGACTGGATTCTTGGTACTTAGCAATATGCACTTCAGGTTCTTTCCTGTTCCCTCATAGACTGAGAGTTAATTATTTTTGTTGTAGAATAATATCTATTGTAAGAATGCACCACAATTAATCCATTCATCTACTGAAGAGCATCTTGGTTTTTTCTAATTTTTAGCAATTTTGAGTAAAGCTGCCATAAACATTCATGTGCAGGTTTTTGTGTGAACATGTAAGCTTTTGGTTCATTTGGGTAAACACCTAGAAGTATAACTGTTAATCTCATGGTAGGCCTGCATTTAGCTTTGTAAGAAACTACCAGACTGTCTGCCAAGGTGACTATGATATTTTGCATTCCACAGCAGTGAATAAATGTTCCTCTCATTCTGTATCCTTGGTATTGCTAATGTTTTGGATTTTAGCCATTGTAGCAGCCAGGTCATTTCCTAATTCTGCTCAAAATTCACATTCTCTATAGTGTTATCTCATTGCTTTAAAGTTTACAATTATCAAACAACAAATGGTGTTGAGCATCTTTTCGTGTTAATTTGCTATTTTTATATTTTCTTTAATAAGGTGTCTATTCCTAGTTTTGCCCATTGTGTTTTCAGATTGAGTTTTAAGAGTTCTTTATATATTTTTATAAGTTCTTTATCAAAAGCTTTTGATTTTCATATAACTATTTACTATTTACTTTTTGTCTTCTATTTTTGGTACTAGTTTTTGAAAACCAACTTATAATAATCTGTTGTATTTGCTAGTAATTTTATTATTTCATTTTGAGGCAATTCATAGGTATAATCTCAATATTTTTGTAAATGATGATTTCATTTTTCCTTCATTTCAATACATTTAGATATAATTGCCTTGCCTAGTTTTGACAATCAGGCAATGGAAAATTGGGGACTAATGATGTTTGATGAATCATTGTTGCTGCTGCAGCCAAGTGATCAACTGACAGTAAAAAAGGATCTGATCTCCCACATTGTATCGCATGAGATTGGACACCAGGCATGTGGTAAAATGTTCTTTCTTATTTCACATTCGCCAGATGCTGTGCCTAAAAGAGGGAAAAACCAGAAACTCCCACCACAAATAAAATGTAAGGAAAGAAAAAAAAAACATTTCTTGAAAGTTATGACAGTGAGTAAAAGCAAGGAAGGATCTGTGTAGTGAGATTGTGGCTCGATTTAAGTTATTGGTGATGAACGGAAGCAATGGGACCTCACAGTCCAAATCAAGGTTGAAGATTTACATCCAAAGATTAATTTCATATTGCAAGGTTTTCTTTAGCAAACATGAGCCATGCAGGGCTTTATTTGTTTTTCATTTCACATTAAAACAAGGGATATTCGAAAAGGTCACTGCAAGATACTCACATTTCATCACTAGATTGTCATAAACTTTTATTTTTATTTTAAAGAAAGACTAAGTGGATGCAGACAGCATAGTAATAGGAGGAGCAATAATTAATCTTCTAGCAGCATCAGTATGGCACTGAAAATAAAAATTCATTTCATTAGATCTGGGTGCTGCTCACTGTGATTTTAGACAGTTAGCTGTTTGATTTAATGAAGATTCTCACATCTACACTTTAGTTTCAATTCCATTAACACACATTTATCAAGAAAGAAACCATCTCCACCATGAAAATGTTGCCTTCTTAGTTACGTGGCTCCATAAGCTTTGGAAAAGGGCAACTTGCTAGGATTAACACCCAGAACCCAGTCAACACATGTTTTCATAAGTGTTGACTACTCGCTTCAAGTGTCATTTTTTTTTTTTCACTATAGCCTAAATGACATACTGTTTTGGAATACAAGCTGCTAAAAGTTATTATAAAAATTTGGTTAAACACCCACGCATGGATTTGTTCATTTTGGAAATTATTGTATTTTTCTTTCATAATTCTATTCAAAATTTGCAGTTTATTTTTCTGTTCAACTGAAATAGAAAATAATTATATGTGGGCCATGATTGTTTGTGATTTGTGTGTGGCACAGATTAAATCATGTTCTTATTAAACTGTTTACAACAAAATTCTGTTGAGAGTATGAGATGAGATAATTAATAGGTGGTAAGTCCACATTCAGGACTTCTGATTTATTTAACTAAACACAACTTTTTGGAAAAGTAAAGATTTAAAAGATGCTGTTTTATCTTATCTTATGTTTGAACATCATAATTTTAAAACAAAAATTGCATTTGATTATTGGACAGGAAATAATTATTTCAGAGAAATGCATAACTATCTCCTGTTGAAACAATAAGCTGCTCCTTGGAATCCTGTTTTCAAGTTTTATGATTGATGGCAGATAAAGTTGAATCATGTCTTTTGACCTTATGTTTATTTTACATGCAAGTATAATAAATACTTAAATCCTGAAAGCTTTTTTTCCTTTCCATTTCCAAAAGTGGTTTGGAAACTTGGTTACCATGAATTGGTGGAACAATATCTGGCTCAATGAGGGTTTTGCATCTTATTTTGAGTTTGGAGTAACTAACTACTTCAATCCTAAACTCCCAAGAGTAAGTATGTTTGTTAAATTTATTTTTTTTAAAAAATGCTCCCAGTTTTAAAAGTAATAAATAATCATGTCGAAAATGTATACATTTCAAAAAACTATTAAAATATTGATATTAATGCTAGAGATTATCTATGATAACTTTTGTGATGTTTTTAGTCCAGGCTTTACACTTATTATAGGTATTTTTGAAAATGGGAATTATACAAAACTCGTGGTACTTTTCATACTCCATATTATATCATGAGCATTTCTGCTAATCAAATTCTCTTTAAAAATAAGGTTTTTAATTCCTGCCTAGTATTTTATCACATTATCTTATAAAGAGTTTACATATAATCTTTTCAAGTATTTAGAGTTTGGTTATTTTCATTATTCTTACATAAAATTTAAGGCAGTTGTAATCTTTAGTCTGTGAGTTTAGTGGTAAGTAATATGTTACTTTTAGTGACTCACTAATATTTTTGCTGATATTGTTTTGCTGCTTGGAGTTAAAAGTAGTATGTGTTGAAAATAAATTTCATTTCAGATATCAATCAGATATCAAAATCTGATCATTTCAACTATAGTATATGTTTCTGATATTATTTAAAATAATTAGGTAGTCCTTTTAGAATGACATGATAAAGCCAATTTATTTGATTTAGATATATAAATGTTTAGATTTAATGTTATCTTTTGAGGTGGACCTCATATCTTTAGTAAAGCAAAAGTCCTTTCTTAGCTTGCATACCCACCCCACCTCACCCCACTTCTGCCTCCTATCCCTTTCTGTCCCTCAGGATTGCTCCTTCCTGAAACTGGTAGCTAAATTTCTGTCGTCTCACCTCCTCACTGTTGCTTTTTTTTTTTTGTACAGGGGATCGAATTCAGGTCCTTGCTCTTGCAAGGCAGGCAGTGGAATTTCTGAGCTAAAGCCCCAGTCCATCATTGTTTTAAGGCTATGTACTTGATCTCCTCTCTCTTTTCCCCAACCTAATTTGGAGCTTATTAATATTTGAAATGCTGATCTCCATTGGCCAAACCTTCTCTGCAGACTAAATCTGTTAAAGAAGAGTCTAAAATGATGCTCCTACTTTCTGTAGTTGTTCCTCAGGATCCATGTGAGATTGTCTCCAAAATACCTTTCAGATAAGAAAACCCTTCTACAAAAATAGTGCATTGCTTGCATATAATCTACTCATATTTTCCTATATACTTTCAGTTGTCTCTAGATTACCTGTGATACCTAGTGCAATTTAACTACTGAGGAGGTGTTATATCATATTTCCTAAGGAACAATGACAAGAAAAGAAAAATCTGCATGTGTTCAGTACAGATGCATTTTCTTTCTGCCATATGCTCTTGATCCTCAGCTAGTTTTATCCCTGGTTGTGGGACTCAAGATATCAAAGGTTGACTATATTATCTCCTAGTAAAATTTCTTCCTTTTGTGAAAGGTAGTAATAACTAGATACTTTTTGTTGATTTGGGGACAGAACATAAAGTTGAAAAGCCTATCTTGGTCCCATCAAAGGCTTTTGAAAGCTTTCTTTTCTCTGCTTATGAAATCACAGTGTCTGGGAAACATGGAAGTCAAGCAGCCTCTTGATACCCAGTCCCATGACAGCTGTCCTGCTCTTTGCAGGTGTCCTGGAAGACACTCCCAGCCAGTGTGGTCACTCGGCGGTGTCTCCCATTCCTCTCTGGACTGGTCCTGTGCACAATGCGCAGGCCCTGTGGCCTGGACTTTGTTATATAGATTAGGAGACAGAGAGGTTCTGTGACTCACTCAAGGTCCTTTCTCTAACCAGTACAGAACTGTGATTATAATCCTAACTGCTGGGCCTCACTGATGATAAGCATAAAGGCAATGATAACAATAATAACATCCTATTTGCCATTTTTATTTTATACATTGATTAAAATGTATAAATGATAATTTAGGAAAATAAAAACTGGTATAAATATTTTAATGCTAAATTTATTGAAATATCTTGAGATTAATATATGTTACTGTTGACCTCTGTGATTACAAGAGGTACTTAAAGTAGTGGCTATCAGCTACCAGACATTTATTAGTATGGTGAACTGCTACTTGGTAACCATGGTTATTAATATAATAATATATTATAATGTATATATATCTATATACACAAAAATATATTTATTTTTTCCTCACATACATATAGTTGTCTTCAAAAGTTCTTTCTATAGGTTCTTTACTTACAAACCTGTATGTATATCTCTTTTATAAAATAGAACCACACATGGTTAATGCCATCTATAAATGTTTTTTAAAGCATTTGGTTGGATCTGAAATTAACTCTGTGCTTAAAGTCAATAATGAAAGAAGCAAATTCAAAAAATGAAATTCACATTATTTTCTTAATTGAATATACTATATTATTCATGTGAATTTCAGTTACCTCTTACAATTAAAATGGCTTTTATCAGAATCAGGCAAAACTCGATGAAAACACATTACTGATACTTTTAAAACTAAAATTATAACATCATTCTCTTTTTGTACCATTTAGTTATTTCTTTTTGTCATTGATTTTTTATTTTTATTATTTATTTATTGATTGATTGATTGATACCAGGGATTGGTACCTTACGCTTTCGAGGCAGGTGGCAGAACCACTGAGCTAAAACTCTGGCCTTTGTCATTGATTTTTTAATTATTCTTTTCTAGTCAACATTTCTGTCATTTGTAAGGCTGAGCAAATGTAACTCTTGTCAGAAGAATTACAATGAGCTGTATATTTAAAAAGCTTCGGTCCTTATTTTAATGATCTCTGGAGACCAAGAACTTTGATTTTCTTTTAATCTACTAATTTGATTGAAATTTAGTATGAAACTTATAGAACCAGATGCAGGAGCAGATTTCCATTTTCCTATTGCTTGGTTTAATTTGAGTTGAAAGTCATTAAAGCAGAATGTGAAAGTTGTGGTCAAGGATGCAGAAAACATTAAGGATAAAGTGCTTCTCTGCTCCAGAAGCTCCAATTCTAGCACTGAGATTCATGACCTTTCTCTGTCTCTTGTTCTACCTGATCCAAGGAAACAGCAGACTTGGTGGAGGGCCCTGTAGCCTGCTAAGATCTCACTCTGTCCTCAAGCCAAGGCGAACAGTGGGACACCTCTGAGCTTAACTGGAGCTTCATGCTTTCAGCATATCACTGATCTTCAGCTGTGTATACTGCAGCACGAGCTAAGCATTCATTATGTGTTTACAGAGTATAACATATGCTATCTCATTCCATCTTCAGAAGAGCTCTGAAGAAATTATGATGAATCGCTTCTCGGCCTTTTGGCTATGATCAAGTGAAGATGGTGATGATGAAGAAGAGCATGTTGTATTTGCTAGGCGTTATGCCAAGCACTTGTGTAAATTAACTTAGTACTCACACTAGTCCGCTGAGAACATTGCTGTTTGCACCATTTTAAAAACTGAAATTATTTTACCATCTGAAAACAATGAATGAGATAATAATGAATAGTGTTATATTTCTAAGGATAACAATAGATTTTAGTAGAAATAGTCTTCTTTGGGATATCATGGCTTTCAGGGAAATGTGCTGGTTGTATAGGTCAATTTTATCAATCACTATAGGCAATGGCTAAATATCTTTTCCCCCTAAAAGCTGATTTCACTTTTTTAAAAATGTTGTTTCCCTTGAGCAGGACAGGAACAGGCTGGGGACATTATTTCTTTATGAGAGGCCCAGAGTAGGAAGACTTCTGGGTCTTTTTGAGGAAAACATGTTTGCCTCATTTATCACAGTTACCTTGTATGGCTACCGTGATACCTTCAAAATTATGTAAAATCTTATGCCAGAAAGGAAAAAGAAAGACAAACAATCTATTCTGAAATAGGAAAATCTCACTATTAGGAGGAACATCATACATGCTACAAAAGTGTTCATTAAAACTGGTTATAACAACAGAAAACTGGAAACAACATAGATGGCAAATGAGTATGGTCCATTGACATGAAAACAACATATTTATTTTAATGTTTTACTCTTACAAAATGTTTATCTGCTATACTTTGAAAATAAGCAAATCCTCTGTGACTTGATCACCCTGTGGTAATTACTATTAAGTTTTAGTTTATTTTTTCAAATTTATGTTTCTGTTCCATTTATAATGTAGGAGCCATTGTAAGGGATAGTTGTGAAGATCAGATAGCAAACTTGAAAATACTATATTAAGTAAGGTGGCAGAATAAAATGTTTGTACAACTATGGGAACAAATCAATGCAGAGGGGAAATGATTGGAAATAGTTATACTAATATTGTAGTGGTGGTTATCTTAAGGTATGTGATTATGATTATGGGTTGGTTTTTTTTCTCTATTTTCTACATTGTGCTTCATGACATATGGCTCAATACTGAGATATTCTCCAGAACTCTTACGTGGTAAACTAATAAAACCTGAGCCTAATTAATAGAATCAGACCTATGCTGATGTTTTCTCTAAATTCTTGCTACTTACAATATGATTCTTGGACTAGTAACATCAGTAGTATTTGGGTAGTTTATTAGCAATATAGGCTCCAACATGGGCCAACTGAATTAGCATGAGTTTGACAAAGTCACCATGTTACCCTTGTTCACACTAAAGTTTGAAAGCATGGTGGTGTGTGTTTATAAGCTCAGCTCCTTGGAAGACTGAGGCGGGAGAATCATGACTTCATGGACAGTCTGATAAACATAGTGAACCCCTGTCTCAAAAAATATATATAAAACACATTACTCCACATGACTGACTTTCTTATTTTTGGAAGAGTTTGATAATAGTCTGATCAGTATATCACTAATTAAAATTAAAGTGATAATAGAAAAGGTTGATTGGAACATTGGCAAATGGAAGTAAAATAAAATTTGAAAGTTTTTTTACACTGTCAAAGGCTGAGAGTTAATTTGGGGGTCCCAAAGACAGGCAGCAGGGACCTGAGGCTTCATGTGGATTATCAGGGGCTCGCCTGACTCTACAGGCTATTAACAAACTATATGGCTTCTTCATAGATCTTTGCTTGGTTTCTGTCATCTCAAGATCCTCTGACTATAAATTGGTTTTCTATCTAGCTTTACATGAGGGATAAATTGCCCTTGTCATGTGTTTGAGAGAGCCAGCCTCTTGAAGAGTTCTGCAGTTTTTATTAAAATATAATAAATTGTCTTCTCATAACATATGAGCCATAAACTCAAGGATCCAGTTGTGGATTTCTTTCCAGTTGTAAATTATGTTAGCATCCTTGTAAATTTGAACATCTAATAACATTTACATTTTGTGTTGTAAATCTCCATATAAGAGAGACTGATCAATTTTAAGGAGTCATTAATGCATTTCCCAATAAAATTCTAGAGAATTAAGAGACTTTGCTTCCTGAAGGCTTTGTCAGGCGACTATGGACCTCCTGTAGGGAAACTTATATGACTGTTAGAAACCACAATAATTGATTTTTTTTAAATTGAAATAAAAAAAGAGAAACAAAATAGGAAGGAAAGTATCCCACAGTTCTGCTTTTCAGGAAAATCTGATATGGGGCATATTGCAATTCACTGACACATCTCAACTGTTGTCTTTTTTCTCCTTTCACTATCATGAAAGTATGATATTGAATATCCATGCTTTCAATATTTTGAAATTTAAAATGCCTCAATATTTTGAAAGCACTTTAGAACCACTGAATTTAATATTTGAATGACACCCCAGAAGTTAATATGCTCAATTTTTTTCCTTTATAGAATGAGGTTTTTTTTTCTAACTTTTTACATGGTGTCCTCAGCGAAGATCATGCCCTGGTGTTGAGAGCTGTGTCCATGAAGGCGGAAAATTTCAGAGAAACAAGTGAAATAAATGAACTCTTTGACTTATTTACTTATAAAAAGGTAAAAGCAGTTATATATTTCCCTTTGTTCTGTACTCTCCTAGAGAGCTGCATAAAATGGATTCTAAGGATTATAGATTGATATGCAATTTAAAACTTTTATTACAAATACCTTAATTGTATTCAATAAATGAGTTTCAGAAAATATGGTTAAACCAATTCTGACTTAACAAGTATTAATAAATCCCATATTAGATTCTGGATACAATCTATCATTATGTATGGACTTAATGTGCTTTTCTCTTTTCTTTTTTTTTTTTTTTTTTTTTTTTTTTTTTTGGTACGGGGGATTGAACTCGGGTCCTTGCACTTGCAAGGCAGGCCACTGAACCACTGAGCTAAATCCCTGGGCCCTTAATGTGCTATTTTAACGACAGACCCTTCTGTTTGGTAGAAATTTATTCTTTCAAATAAATACCTTCATTTAAATTTTTTGCTATAGACCCTGACCTCTTTATATGTAGTATATTCACTCACTTTTTTACCTAATGATTATTCACTATTTCATCAGTATGTTTGGGAATAATTCAAACGTTGAGTTAAAGTATAAGTTGTAGTCAAGAGCACAGCTCAAATAGTGTTCATAAAATGGAATGTTTTGTTCAAATACCGAGCGGCTTCTTCTGTCCTAGGGAGCATCTATGGCCCGCATGCTTTCCAGTTTCCTGAATGAGCATTTATTCATCAGTGCACTTAAGGTGAGTCAGCAAAATAGTTATCACCTGGATAGCAGCAAACACAAATAGGTTTGGCATGCTATTTTTTAAAAATCACTTCTCTTTTTTTTGCAGTCTTATTTAAAGGCATTTTCTTACTCAAATGCTGAGCAAGATGATCTATGGAAGCACTTTCAAATGGTAATTGTCCACGTACTTGTGAAGCTATTTTGTCTGACATCATAACACTTTCTTAGGGCAAGAGTTGTATCTTTTTTTTTTTTCATTGTATTCCCATACATAGAACGGAGTCTGTCACAATGAAATACCTAAGTGTGTGCTCAGTGAATGAATGAATGAATGAATGAAATAGGAACCATACATACATAGGCAGCTCTCCATGGCTGTGGTTTCACATCTGTGGATTCAATCAACTCCAGATGGAAAATATTAGGGGAAAAACTGCATCTGTACTGAGCATGTACAAACTTTTTTTTCTGTTATTATTCCCTAGACAGTGTAGTACAACAACCGTTGTATTTGTGTGGCATTCATAGCATTGTAAATAATTACAAAGTGATATGCAGTATGTCGGAAAATGTGCACAGTTCACATGTAAATACCATTCCATTTTGTATAAGGGACAAGAGCATCTGTAGATTTTGGTATCTGCGATGGTTCTAGAACTAATTCCTCTTAGGTACCAAAGAAAAACCAATAATTTTCTGTGTCATTGTGTAAAATAAACAGAATTTTGAATTTGTCCCAGAATATCAACCATTTGGGATAACTGCAGTATATAAATCAGGAAAAGAATTTTTATTTTTAGGAGGTTGTTACATCAAAATTTGCTAATAACCATACATGTTTTTTTTGTGTGTGATGATTTTTTAAATCAGGCTATAGATGACCAGAGTAAAATTATTTTGCCAGCAACAATAAAAAGCATAATGGACAGTTGGACACACCAGGGTGGTTTTCCAGTCATCACTTTAAATGTGTCCAGTGGTGTCATGAAACAGGAACCATTTTATCTGGGAAAAGTTGAAAATCAGACTCTTCTGACCCACAAGTAGGTAGCTTTGCTCCTCTCTGTCTTTGCCTTCCTTGAGTTTGAGCTCTGATGCAAAGGAAACCAGCCAGCAGTGAGAAAGCACAGCCCTTGCTGGAACAGTCCCTTCTGCAGGCGACTGCACTTAGGGATGCTGGAGTGAGAGAGACTCCCTAAGTCCTGAGCCAGAAGAGAGATCTGCAGTTAGGTATTCAAGGTGTGCCCCTCCCTCAGTCAGGGTTCAGGGCCCCACCAGTGGCCAGAGCTTTGTGAGGACCTATGTACCTTCAGACAGAGGTAGTGGATTATTCAGGATTATGGATAAGAAACAATAGGATGATGGTACCACAAGTGGCCACATGCTAGTTAAGAGAAAAGTATGTTCTACTGCAAAGTAATCTCTTCCCTAGAAATAGAAGTGAAAGTAACTATATTCCTGAGGAATTGTTCTATACATGGTTGTGTATGTTGTGTGCTTGTGTGTCTGTGAGTGTATCTAAAATCATACCTGCAGCATTAGAATGCCTCTAGCTATAGTTAGGCCTGTGTTCAAATACTGACTTCACCAGTTTCAAACTTTAGATAAATCTTATTTTATCAGTTTTAGTTGCTTTATCTGTAAAATAAATATAGTAGCATAAAATGAAATGTAAGCATAAAATGAGTAGTAATCTCATCACTTTCTCCTTTCCTTTCTTAATTTGTGAGATAACTTTAAACTGTTTTTGATAGTTTTGATTCTCACATCTCATTGTAATAGGTAACAGCACAAATGAGTAATTTTCAAATACCATCAACAAAATTTTCAGGTAGTTCTTTTTCTTCAAATTACTAGGGGAAAGAAATAGAAAACTCAAGTCCCTCTCTCCATAATTTTCTGTGGTTTTTTGAAGAGAGGGTATCTTTAGCAATCAGATAAATATGGACCCACAGTTGAAAGTCTTAGAAGCAGGCATTGTGAGAATTTGAGGGAAACTGGAATATTGGTCAAGGTACAAGATGCACACATCTTCAGATGACTAGTGTTCTTCCTCAGTTTCCTGCTTCACCCAGGTCACATCCACCAGTGTGGGAAAAGTGTAGCCATTCAATAAATGTAAATATCCTGCTAGGGTTTGGTTTTTTTTGTTTTGTTTTGTTTTTTTGTTTTTTGGTACTGAGGATCGAACTCAGGACTCTGCACTGAGCTAAATTCCTGGCCCTCCTTCTGGTTCTTGTGGATCACATTTCAGGTTTGGAAAAAGCTTGATGCTGAAAAGTAGTTTGAAATGTTTGTCAAGCTTTTTCTTTTTAAATTACCCTTCACTTTTCTGGGCATGAACAGATTCGGGCTGGCCATGCAGTATCTATTTGAACACTCTCAAGTCAGGCCAGGTGGCTAAAACTTCATGTAAACAGGCCTTGAAAATTTCAGATGCAAGGCAGTCTTAGTAGTTACCTATGGTATAAAAAGGAAATCCATAAGACACAACAAGGGAGAGGGGTGAGCAAAATGCCAAAGCAAAACAGCAGCAAAGTATCCTCATAACAAAGTCCTACCTATCTAGAGGGAATGAGCAAAGAAATTGAGTTGAGCCCACTATTTTACCATCTCTTTTATATTAAATTAGATGTAGATTGTTTTTGAAAGTAAAATGTAAATACACTTTGGAATTTTAAATGTTTTGTTAGTACATGTTTGAGTACATAATTTTACATTCCTCGTACAGAGTTGGTACATGTATGTAACACATCTTAATTCTTCCTTCATCCCCTTTCCTTTCTTTCCCCTTCCCTCCATCTCTTGATCCTCTTCCCATTTAAGAAAGAGCTGTCACCCTACTTCCTATTGTCTTTTATTTGCTCTTTATTTATAATTGTTTTTCTCATGTAAGAGAAACAATGAACAATTTAAGCTTGTTCATCAGATTTATTTCACTTAACATTGTGATCTCGAGGTTAATCCATTTTCCTACAACTGACTCAAGCTTATCTTTCTTTATGACAGAGTATTCTATTGTGCATAAATTCTTATGCTTGAAAATTAACTAATTTTTTTTCTTCCAAAAAGTGGCACGTGGATTGTCCCCATTCTTTGGATGAAAAATGGAACAACACAATCTTTAGTCTGGCTAAATAAAAGCAGTAGTAAGTAACACATTTTAAAAGCATCTTCAGTTATACACACATTTAAAGATAGAGAATAAAATCCTAAATTGTCTAGCTTTTGAAAAGTTATCTCAGGGCTGGCGATTTAGCTCTGTGATGCCACTGCCTGCCTCACAAGAGAAAGGTCCTGAGTTCGATCCCTGGTACCCTCCTCCAAAAAAAGATTATTTCTTAGCTCAATTAAAAGCTGTCTCACTTAAAAATAGTTTTTTAATAGTTTTAAAGAAAAGTTTCAAATCAAAACTCATTATATGTAAAAAACATAATTATATGGTAAAATATACTATTTAGAATTTCTTTTATTTTTATTGTTCATTGTTTAGAATTGAGTGAATTATATAAAAAAGTAATTCGAATATTTTTAAAACATACTATTTAAAATTTTTCCTATTTTTTGTAGAAGTATTCCCTGAAATGCAAATTTCAGATTCTGATAATGACTGGGTGATTTTAAATTTGAATATGACTGGATATTATAGAGTTAATTATGATAAATTAGGTTGGAAGAAATTAAATCAACAGCTTCAAAAGGATCCTAAGGTAAGATTATTTTTGATGTTTTTAATTAAATATTATTGCATATGCTCTGTCATCTTTTATTTTTAAAATTTTTATGTTTATTAATATACATTCGCTCTTCTCTTAGAGGGTGAGCTCCCTTGGAAAAGATTCTATCCCTATTCCCATTCTTCACATCCAGCCATACTGGAGATATGCTTTTTCCTTATCCTTAGAAAGGGGTGATTTTGGTTGACTGTGGTTTATTTTTTAACATTCCTCTTTCTTTTCCAAAATAATTTTACCTTTTCAGATAGGAATCAGAACATATTTTCCACTTAATCATTTATTTTGTACATGCTGGCAAGTTACTTTATTGTTCTATTTCCATTTTTTCACTTTAAGATGAGAATATTATTTCATATTTATCATAAGCATTAAAGATAATATAGTTATAATATACTTAAAATTTCTAAGTCCATAATAGATACTTAGTGTATATATATATATATGTATATATATATATATATATAATATTAATTTTACTTCTAAATACAAATGCCCATTCTCCCTCAGAGGAGAGAAAAAAATTCACAAAACATCAGTAATACTCTAGTAAACAACTATAAATTCATGTGAAACCTATAAACATTAAAGTATTAAAGTTTTGGTCAGCTTAGACTAATCAGATTTTTCAGATTTTAATACATTGAATTAAACCAAGTGTCCACTGGTGGATGACACTGCTCAGAAGTTGGCACAGTTGGCTCTGCTGTGCATACTTGGATGATTCATTTAGACTCCGTTTAGAAAACCAGGATGCTTAAACTGAAAGATAGCTTCAGCATTGCTCTTTGCAAGTTCTTTGAAACATGGCAGGCTTTTAGCACAGGCAGCATTGCAGCATATTGTTCTAAAGCTTCGGGTGTGTTCACATTTTTGTTCATCAATTATCAGAAGAGTGGTGTTGGGCCTCTCATTTGACCAGCAGCTCAATTTTCCATATCTGTATAATGAATGTAAGAGACCAATATTGCTGTGAAGATGAAATAAGATAATACATGTATTATGTTTAACAGAGGCTAGACACAATTCAGGAAGTGGCCTTCAGAATATGTTCAGGAATTTTTAAAAAAGTTATTGAGATTTTGAATAAAGCTACCAAATCCACTTATACTAATATTTTCTTTTCAAACCTTTTCAGAGTGGATAAATTCTTAGGAGTGTCTAAGAGTACTCTAAGCCACCAAGTACTAAGTTAGGCCATTACAGCAATAATTCCTTGAAAATGGTGTAGATTTATTTATTGAAAAACTGAGTTAAATATTTTCTACAACATGATTGGTGAGCAAGTAAAATGGACTTTGTATTATCAATATTAATCTAGAAAATGTGGTGTTACTGCCAGAAAAGCAACGAGACTCCTACAAATAGAAGAATTAAGCTTGGCTTAGGTGCTCAGAGGAATGCTGTGAAGATAAAATTTCTAGGCCAAAATATATCAAAGTGCCAAGAGATGTTGAAGGAATGATACAGGAGGTTTTTGGGTCCTCTTGGAGAGCTGCAGCTGAAATGAATCTGATGCCCTGGCAAAGCCGAGGAATTTAGACAGAAACCTAAAGCGTTACACTGGCAGTTGGTCTTGCCTTTGAGTGTGTGTTAAGGGCTCTCTTGGTAGGACTGTGTCACCTCAGTAAAATCTACAGAAGACATGTATCATTTAAAAGGTTGCCACAGTATTATCAAAATAGTAATAAACAATATTTATTTAAAGCCTCCTCCTATGTTAAAAACTCCTCTGAAAATCATTTGGACACTGTAATACAATTTGATGTGTGCTTTCTGGCTTAGAGAGGCCTTTTCATTTTGGTTGCCTGTTTTATTTCTTACCATGGTATAGTTTAGGGAGCATTTTGATAAAACTCTATGTGATATTTTAGCATTATTGTTGATGTTCAGAGGGATCACTTATCAAAAAAGATGCGCAATGATAAATTATGGGGACTGTCTCTAGTAATTACCATTTCTCTGCAGATGAGACACTTTACATGAAAGTGCTCAGTAGTCAGAAATGATCTTTTAAGTTGTTTTGAAAATATTTCACTAAAAAATGTTCTCATCTTTTATTGCAACTGCATGGATCTCTTTCTGCAGGCTATTCCTGTTATTCACAGACTACAGTTGATTGATGATGCCTTTTCCTTATCTAGGTGAGTATGCTCTCTTTGCTCATGGTTTTAGAGTACACCTTGAAAATTTTATAAAAATAATACTTTACTACTATGATTTTGGCTCTTTCATATACACAGGCCTTACCTGATTAAGATTACAGTCAAATTCTATGGTCATAGTGGAATTTTATAACCTAAGATGTGTTAGAAATAGACTATCACTTGAGGTTTTGAAGTATAATTTGAGGTATAATTTTAATGATGATGTCATTACACATATTGCTTTCATATATATTACCTTTATTCAGTGCAGCTGTGCTGCTAAATATTTAACCAGGTAAATTAATATATGTTTGGAATTTAAGTTTTCAGGAAATAAAATTAAGCAATATACATAATAAGTTATTATATGCTCTCTTTCTTTGGCCTGTCACATTTCCTGGATACATGTCACATGTGTACTGCTTTTTCTCTATATGACCTGTAGCTATTCCCTTGCTCAATACTTTGCTATCTAAAGTCACTATGACATTGGTTCTGTGGAACACTTCCTCCTGAAAATGTCCTTTTTGGTTTTCTGAGACTCCAGTATACAGACCCAGGTCTTCTCATGTATCTGACTTCACTTCTTCCTACTGTATAAGCACTCCTAAGACAAACCATGACTGTATTATTTTCTTCAAATAACTCATTATTATTATTTTAGTGACCATTTTATTATGTACATGTACAGTTCCCAGCAGATATAAGATGCTCAGTAGATATTCTAAATCAATGCCTCTAAGCTAATACCTATCTTAAGTTTATTCTATAGTCATTTAAATTCAATACCTAAACTCTAAACTCGTATGTCTCTAAGCTGCTCTTGTTATTAGTTTCTCTATGTATGACAGGAATACCACTATTCTTCTCTTTACCCAAACTTAAAACCTCAGAAATGTCTCTTTTTCTCCCTCCATCTCTTATGCTTAGGAAGCATATTTTTTATTCTGACCTTATACTTTCACTGCTTTCATGCTAAACCAAATTTTCATCATCTTCTTCTTGGCCTGTTGCATTAGATTATAGATAACTCTCCCTTTTTTTTTTCATTTCGTCTTCTTTAGCAATGTGGAAAAAAATTTTAGGCATCAACTTCATCATGTTACCCTAGTTTCATAACTACCTAAAGTACCTTGCCACCAAACCTAAACTACTCTCTGATATTCAGGGAGCTCAGTGGGTTTGAAGCACTTTCCCTGTTGGCCTTCACCTCTCACTACACCTCTCCCTGCCTCTATGACATGAGTATGCCCATCATACAAATTCCAACTTCACCGTTTTGTCCTGGGCTGCCTTCCTCTCTCTACTCATTTTAATCCTACCATCTTTCAGTATTCTTCTCAAATTCCTTCTCCATGAGGGCTTTCCTGATTTTTCCCTCTTTCCCCTGACTTTTCCAGGTGTATATTTTCCTTCTTTGCCACTTTTTAGTGTTCATTAGCTTTACTTGAACTTTTCATGAACAACTTCTTATGCTAAGTCTCAGCTCCTCACTAAGGCTCTTGAGGGAAGGCGAGCATGGTGTCCTGTGTAGAAGCCTGTATTCACAGGTAGCTGGCACACAATTAGAGAATGATTTTTAATTAATATTTGTTGAATGGAAGATATATCTCACAACAGTGCAGATCAAATACACAATATTTTATCACTCAATAATCAGTCCAACATTTGGCCTAGATTTCTTATGGAATTCAATTGGACACTTGAAGGTACCAAATTGGAATGGGAAGTCTTGCAACATTTCTTGGGTTCTATCTCATCAATAAAACCTTCACCTTTTTGCTTCTTGAATTATTCACTTATCATATTGAAGTCTGTCACTGAAGCATAGAGCAAATGTGGAAAGAGTACCAATCATTTAGTAGGTGAAGGTTTTGTGAGCATATTTTCTTTTAAATCAAACAGAAACAATTATATTGAGATTGAAACAGCACTTGATTTAACCAAATACCTTGCTGAAGAAGACGAAATCATAGTATGGCATGAAGTCTTGGCAAACTTGGTAACCAGGGATCTTGTTTCTGATGTGAGCAACTATGATATATATCCATTATTAAAGGTAATTTAAAGCTTTGTTGTGCAGTTTTAAAATAAATCATCTCTTCTTTTCCATATTCTAACTGACATCTGTGAGGCATAACTTTCCCACAGTCGGCTATTTATCTATATATCCATTTATTATCCTAGCAATAGTTACTTACACTTAGAAGAATATACGTTAGCCATTGACCTAATCTAGCAGATGAGCATGAGAGAAGCTTGGAAGAATATTTTGTTCTTGATGAAGGAACAGTGTATCCTAAGAATTCAGAAATGATGGAATAATATCTTCTTTCTTATAGAAAAGGAGATTATCTAATAACAACTATTTCCCTAAGATGTTAGTAGACAAAACAGAATGTCTTTTAATAACTCTTTGTTCATAATTACAATATTCTGATTTGTAGGGTCAGCAAGTAAAACAAGAGGGGTATAGTACAGAAAAAGAAGAAGTTTCAGGAAGAGGGAAATCAGAATTAATGGACGAATGAATGAAGAATGACATGCTACCAAAAATAAGAGACTATAAAAGGGAAAAAGTTCCACTATTAGATCTTAAACAGTAATGCTAAGAAAGATGGCATGAGTATAATCAAAATAAAATTTAGGGAGCAACTCTTTAGACGGTTAGCAGCCCCAGCAAACCAGATAATGTTAGATAGTGATTGCAAGTGAGTTTCTTCAATTTCTGATGGTGATCATCACAAATACCTCATGTTCCAGATGTTATTTTTTTCTAGTATTCAGAGTACCACTGGGTACTCAGTTGGGTATAGCATTGCTATTCAATAAAATAAGTTTTGAAAAGAGAAATAAAATATAATGCATACCTTTCAAAAGCTTCAATGAATAGCATCTAGTTTCTTCCTGGGTTATATTCATACATTTCTAACATCTATAATTTTATATTTACTGTCTGATAGCTCAGTTGGAGAAGCTTTACTTCAGACTCAGGACTTCATTTTGTCTAGAGTAGTGATGGTGAACTTTTTGGAGACTGAGTGCCCAAACTGCAATCTCAAACCCCTTTATTTATTGCAAAGTGCTAACACTGTGATTAAACTTGAATACTGAGATTTTAGTTTAGAAAAAGCAGCTCATATATTAACATATTTTTTATTAAAAGAAAAACAAATAACACCTGTGCCATAGGTTCATCACCACTGGTCTAGAGCATGAATCAGTCATTTTTGTAAGTATGTACATTTATGAAAGTTTAAAGGTAAAAAGTCTTTTATACTTCTACATTTTTTCTTTATATCAGAAATGTTTGCTCTGATATTAAATGATAGCAATAATTAATATTTATTAAGTTCTTACTATGTGTCAGACAGTGTGCTTATAGACATTATATTATTTAATCTTCATAGCAACACCATAATATTGGTATTATTATACATCACATTTTATGTATAATGGAACTGAACCTAGAGAAGTTTAAAAAATACAACAGTTACACATTTAATAACAAGTAAAGATAATTTCTGAAATAAATAAGATATAATTTCTTATATCTAAAGATACATCACTTTTCCATTAATATCTTTACAAAGAGAATATAGTGAAAATCCATAATTGTGAGCAAGAATTAACAGTATATTTTCTTTATGGTTTATAGAAATATCTATTAAAGAGACTAAAGTCAATATGGAATATTTATGCAACTATAATTCGTGAAAATGTGGGAGCATTGCAGGATGACTATCTAGCTCTGTAAGTATTTTTAATTGATGATAACTGAATAAAATGATTCTTATTAATAGATGGGCTTCCAGATTCATAAAATAAAATCTTAATAGCTATTATTTACTAAGATAGTTTGTGTGCTATTTGAGAACAGTAGCTCTGATATTGACAGATTACATGTATCCTCATAGGAAATAATAACTTAGCATCTTAATTTACCTACTAGACACATGCATGAACACACTGTTTATAGTGTTACATTCTTAGAATTCGGGCTATGGTTGAAATTGTAAACGAGTACTTTGTTAAGCAAAACTACCCCTATACTAGCAAGATGAAAGATATATGAAGACCACAGAGAAAAAGTTCCTTCTGTGTTATTGTTAACAGGAATTCTACTATGATGTATATATGATGAGGTAGTCAGGTGTGGTGGTGCACAATTTTAGCATTTTTGAAGGCTGAGGTAGAAGGATAGCAAATTGAAGTCCAGCCTGGGCCATTTAGTCACTTAAGGAGACCCTGTCTCAGGGAAAAAATGGGGAGAGAATTAGGAATGAAGCCCTGAGTCAAACCCTAGTACCACAGAGGGCAGGGTGGAGGGCTGAGGTAGGTTATCAGTGATACATATCTGTGACTTTTATATGATCATGATTAAGTATTGAAAAATTTCCTCCTGTGGGGAATAAACATACTGTCATGATGGTCTGGAAATGAAAGAAAGGCAACACGGGACTACAGCACTTCTGTCCTCCCTATAATCTGAGGTTTGTATGTGGAGGCTGGACTTCCAGATTAGCAAGACTATTTGTTGTCAAAAATAGTGCATACATTAAAGCTAAACTTCTAGTCTTCAGGAAGCTCAAATAGTTAGACCAAAGGAGAAATATAAAATAAACAAAATGTGATTGTTCTTTCACAAAAGTACCCTTCAGAGAAGATAGAAATTTTAGCATCAGGAAGGATATGGAATGGAATGGACCAGTACGTGGAAGACAAGGAGGACATGTTTAGGATAGAGTGGGTATAGGTAAATTGTGTCAAAGAAAGGGAAGGAAAAATTGTGCTCCATTAGACAGCACATATATTAACCAGACATACTCAAAGCTATCCTACTTTGGACTGAAATGGTGTATTTTCTGTGACATCTTGGTCCATTTCTTCTTTTGGAGACAGACTGCATTTCCACAGAACACCATCTTGTTGCAGCTAGTTGGAGTTGGCTTGAGAGGGAAAGGGAGTGGGTATGTAAATGAACATCCAGAACTGCCTCTCAGTGGACCTGCATTCTTGGAAATGCCAAGCCCATTTATCAGAAGGCCAGGTTCCACAAGGTTGAAAATGGAGGTGGAGCAACAGAGATTTGGCTTTTGCATTTTCTGGCTTCCTTTACTTAGACCCTAAACTCAGACAGGGGTAGCAAGACACACTAAAAGGTACTATTTACCTTTATTTAGTGCTATTCTTTACTATATTTTCTCAAACTTGTTTTGTTTTTCTGCAGAACTAGGGATCAAACTCAAGACCTTGCACTTGCAAAGCAGGTGCAGTGCCACTGAGCTAAAGCCCCAGTCCAAACTTGTTTTGTTTTGAGCCACAGTGTGTGCCCCTTCTCAATTATAAAAACAAACCGAACAAAATATACAGCTCCCTGGTTTTCCTGGACACATATATAAAGGCCAGGAGAAGTAGGGGAAAAAATAGATGCTTAAGCAAGGAAAAGCAAACTATAGAGGGAAAGAAATACACTATCTTCTTTCCTTTGTATGGAGAATTTTATTTTTAAATGCATCAGGCCAGATACTCTAAAGATATTTTTTAATCCATCAGGCAATTATTGCAAAAGGAAGGAAGAGTAAATTGGCAACAGATGTGGTGAGTATATATACCCATGTGTGTTTGAGGGAGATGACAGATAGCAGTAATTTATTTTTAACGTTTAAAATACACTAGTCTTAGGAGCTTTTCTTGGTGCCTGAGAGCTCCTTGGCAAATGTTTCTCTAAATCTTAAATACACTTGTCATCTGCAAAAGCTATTTTTTAAAATAAACCTGATATTGTGGAAAGATGTTTGGAAGTACTCATCCTTTCACAAAATACACATTCTTGGAAGCAGACAGAGTAAAGGTAATAGTGCAAAATGAAATGCTTTTGTCTTTTCCTTCAAGAATATCACTGGAAAAACTTTTTACAACTGCATGTGGGTTCGGTCTTGAAGACTGTCTTCAGCTGTCAAAAGAACTCTTCAGAAAATGGATGAGCCATCCAGAGAATAAGTAAGAGTACTAGTCTAATTCCCTTTGTTTTTGTTCTACTAGCGTCAGCAATTCTATGCCTTTTTGATAGTTTCATGGTGAGAGTGATCGTGTTGCTTTCACCTAATCTTTAATTTCTTTTTAAAAGATGATTGTCTACAGGTTTGAGCATAACAATAGAAGATTAGAATTTATACAGTGAATTGTCACTGGCGATCTCTCAATAAGCACACTGAACCCTAATACACTTGTTTTGAGTTTTAATTTTTCATGATGGTTTATTGTTTTATATATGTAAATATATCAGAGTAGCTCTCTCTTTTTCTATCTCTGTCTCTCTGTCTCTGTTTCTCTCTCTCTTTGTGAGTTTGCAGTTTCATTGAGATCGGAGACTAAGAGCCTATTGTTTTGGCTTTACATCTAACATAGCACCTGAGATGGACTCTTAAGAAATGCAGTGAGATACAACTGATCTACACTGCACAATTCTAACTCACTTCTCTCTGAAAATTTAGATTAGTTTCTAAGCTAATTTCATGATCTCTTCTCAAGGTAATAATGCTAATATAGTTCTCACAATTTCATTTGGAGATTGTTGCTTTTGATTTTTTATCTGAGGTCTCATTTTTTTCTAGATTTGTACTTCTAAATATATGACAACCTGGATAACTTAGCTACTGTGAGAAATATAATTGCATATTATATCTTACAGAATACCTTATCCGATTAAAAGTGTGATTTTATGCTACGGCATTGCCTCAGGAAGTGATAAAGAATGGGATTTTCTGTTAAACATCTACACTAACACAACTGAAGAAGTGGAAAGAATTCAACTTGCTTATGCGATGTGCTGCAGTAAAGACCCCTGGATACTTAACAGGTAATTATGGTCAACTTAATTTGAAAATCACTGGTGGAAGAATGTAATTTATATACTAAAGAGAGAAAAGTACAAAAATGCTAATAGAATTAAAATGTGTGCATATTTGTGCATTACTAACTTAGAACCATGAGATTTTAGTCTACTTATTTATGCTGTATTAGATTCTGAAAACCTACTTCCTTCTTGCAAATGCGCTTTTTAGATATATGCAGTATGCCATCATCACATCTCCCATCACTTTTAATGAAATGAATGTAATAGAAGCTGTGGCAGCATCTGAAGTTGGCCGATATGTTGCAAAGGACTTTTTAGTCGACAATTGGCAGGCTGTGAGTGAAAGGTAAGGAAGCTGAGATCTTGATTTCATTCAGGTAACTGGTTTTTGATAGAAGTGCCACTATAGTCTAGCTAGGTCACAATAGTCCTCTGCACTGACTCGCAAAGTTATGATAGTTCCTGCATTTTCTTTCATTGCCAATTGGGAAGAGATCACTTGTCCTCAATTTTGGCTTTCCATGTGAAAATGGATTAGCTCAGAATTCTTATCTATCTCAGTTTCCCCATTATGCCCACAAAGAAATTTGTCATAAAGGACATACATTTGAGCAAGTAATGTTTACTAGTATGAGTATACACTATTCCTTTATTCATTGACATCACCATGTTTTAAAGAAACAAGCTGGTCCCTTGGTCTAGATGTTGCCAATGTCTTTAATTTTTGGCAGATTCCCTTTATATATCTAAATCCTATATTCTTGCGCTTTTAACATTTTTAATATTTTAAGAGTAAATCTGCTTGCTTCCAAGCACCTCTGTTCAGTAAAACATATATTAACATATAAAAAACTGAGGAGGGCCTTGATGACTGTCTTTCTAGAGTATTACTTCACCATACATTCCTAAAATCCTAGAATTAATGTGTGTAAGAAGTAAATTTAGTAGATCTTGTTATAGATTTAGGAAATACAAGGTAGCCAGTAGTTATGTTCAAAACATTGGAAAATTTGGAAGATAGTTTTTATAAATAGGTTTATCCTTTTGGAATAATAAGTATATTTAGAGTATAAATACTTAAGAATATGGAGTTGGTTCTCTTAGAGAGTAAGTTAATGAAATGTTTTCCTATTGTAAATGTTAATTGAATATCTTTAAAACACCAAAAGAGGTGTTTTTAATCAGAAAAATTAAAATGTATAGATAAAAACATCCTATAGCTCATTGGTGGAACACACACACCTTACCTATACAGTGAGAATATTGTCCTGCTTTAGATTCTGTCATTCTTGGTTCATTTCTTTAGAGGACCATATACATTCCGTACATTTCCTTGGTTCTCTCAGAACTTGGGGGTAAATAATGTCTTCTGTCTTTTCTTCAATCATTAAAAATAATCTCCTCCTTCCTCAATCCTACACCCCACTCCGAATTTGGCAATTGAGTTTTAAATATAAATTATTTACACAAGTGACCCTATTTATGAAGTTTCAGAGATTTGACCCTAAAGGGGGTCATCTCTTAGTCTTTTCACTCTTCCTGAAGCTTTTAAGAAAAGCCTCTGTCCCTGCGTCTCTTTTGGGTTTATCGGGTCTGGTCTGTGAAGCCATCTGTCCTCCTGTGGCCTTGGTCAGTTTGCTCAGTCATTCACTTCAGCTACAAGTTTTTGACTCTTCCAGAATTTCCTGTTGACCCTTAAATAGCAATTTTGGAATTGAAGGTGGAGAGAGTAGGTCTTTTAAGAAATAGGTCATGATTTGTCTGACCCCAAGTTGTAATCACCACAGGCTGTCAGGTTCTCTGTTTCTTCTGATGCAATACTGGCGTCTAAGAAGACACAGGTTCACATTTAGTTCCCAGGCTTAATAACTAGTAGTACCTGTTGGTATGTTTGTACCACTAAGAGTGTTAAGAATAATATTTATTGTAGTTGATCAAAATGAAGTGATGCTTCTTGACCCCAAGAAATGTCCACACGTAGACTGGTGAACTAAGCACAAAACAGAAACTTTCAAATTTAGCAAAGGTTCAGAATCATCTGGGATGACTCATAAACATTGTTTCTCAAGACTATCTGAGCCTTCATAACCAGAATTTTCTAAAATAGGATAGAGAATCTGTACCTTTCACTGGATTCTTAGGTAACTCTAGTATACTGAAAGTGATTTAAAATCATATATGGCTGCAGTTCCCAATATACTAGCCCCTAGTTGGATATTCAAATTTAAATTAGCATTAGTTAAAGTAAAATAAAATTTAAAATTCAGTTCCTTCGGCTACGTGTAGTGGTGGATACCTGTAATCCTAGCACTCTCGGACACTGGGAGGAGGATTGCAAGTTCAAGCACAGCCTGTGCAACTCATTGACTTAGCAAGACCTCGTCTCAAAGTAAAAACTTTTGTTAAAAAAAGGGCTGGTGATATAGTTCAGTGTGAAGGCCCTGGGTTCAATCCCCAATACCAAAAAAAAAAAAATCAGTTTCTAGTTGCATTATTTGTTTTAAGTACTCAGTATGGCTAGTGGCTACCATATTAGATAGCTTAAAGAATATTTTTGTCATTGTAGAGTTCAACTGGACAGGACTAATATAAGGGGGAAACCAACCACTCATTTAATTTTTTTCTCTCTTCTTATACCGTACACAGCACACATGCAATTTAAAACCTCAATACAGATTTAAGCACTTTTGGAATCCACTATATGATGTCACCTGAGACACACATTTGTCATTGCTACTGGATAGCTGTCCTGTCCTACTGTGATGCAGTCTCCACATTTATACTTACTCAGCTACTGTAGGTCACTGGACTAGAAGATAAATGATAATGGCATGATTCTATATTTCTCACTTAAAAATGAGAGGAGCATTGGCTCATTCATTAAGGCAAATGTATCATAGTAATGTGAATCACAGGAGAAAGTGGGTGCAGGGTATATATAATTTTATGTAACATTCTTGCAACTTTTTCTGTAAATTTAAAGCTATCCTGACAGTTTATTTTTAAACAATCAGAAGATATACTGTACCTGTGCTCAATCACAAGCATGCTAACAATAAGAAAGACTGCTCTTAATACAAGTGATTTTAAGTTGTGTTTTAAAATTTATCTTTCAGAAGAATATTTTTAAAGGACAGGAAAATGTTGGCAACATTCTACTGAGGCTTAAGTTCTACTCTTTGAAAAATCTGTTTTCTTGTGATTTATTAAACACTCTGCATAACTGCACTTAATAAGACATGCAAGCAATTTCTTTAAAAAGTCACAGTCTTGTTATAACCGCAAAGAATGTCCTAGAATTATAAATGAATGAACTTTTAAAACCATGGCTTAAATTTTTATCTTTTTCCCAAGGAAACACTCTAATCTACTCATACAGTATGTATGCTACTCATATAGTAAATGCTTACATTGAATGCATTAATTTTTAGTTTAATTTTTATATAGCAGTCTTGCTCAATTTTGCTAATGGTTTTATTTGAAAAAATATATATGAATTGTTAAAATAAAACTTCAATTTAATAATTAAAATATTATAAGCACTTAAAATGGCACAGAAATACTTTCTTAGTTTTTTGTAAGTCATAATATTTAATTGTCATTTATTAAAGTTATATTTTACATGAGTGTTTGAATATCGACAGTCTTCACATAATGATGATAGTATAAAAATATAAGTGAAAGTAGCTTATGCCAAATTAAATTATATATATATATATATTCTTTTTCCTCATTAAGTCTATTGGTAAATTTTAGGTTTACAGTACAGTTACATTCATCATTGGGATCTTGTACCTTTACATGACAGGTCTTGGTTCTCATTTTTCCCCGTACCCCTGCCCTCCCTTCACCCCCTCATCCCTTCCTTATTTACAAAAATTTTATCTCCATTTTTTCATTTTCTCATATTTTTTTCTTTTCCCTTATTTTCTTTCCCCTACTCTTCCCACATCCCTTACACCTTTAGCCCTTTTCTTCCCATTACACATTGTCAATTATGCCATTAGGATCTTGAGTACTTATACTGAATTTTCTAAAATGTAACTGATCACTAACAAGTTAATACTTAGTATTTCTCAATTGTGTTTTGATATGTGTTACTCATGGAAGCAGTCAGTGAACAAAAGAGAAATAGCCCACACAATTTCAAAAATATCTATTCTAGCTCTCACTTTTGTAAACTCACAATGTATTTTTATCACTGTAAAGTCTCCAAGAAGCCCTATAAAAAGAAATTTAGAGTTTTCCATGCATTACTACGCTAGAGTCTAGCATCTTATAGGCACAGTCCTGATCATCACCATGGGGTATGCTATTGTCAACAAACTTATCTTTTTGCCAGTAGACCAGCTGTTCCAGAAGAAAGACATATAAAAGATACAGAATTTTCCATTCCTATTCTCTGAAACACCTATTTATTGTTTACCTACTAGCTTGCATGTAGGCTTTGTTTTTCTCTTCTATAAAATGACAGAGGTTGAGTTTTGATCAATTTTAAGGTTCTTTTAGATAATAAAGTATTATGAGGTACAGTACAGTTCATGCCATTGCTGGTGATATGAAGTGACTAGGTCATAGAATCTGATGAATGTGGTGAAGGAGGAATAGCACGGGCTTTGGGGATTCAAAGGCAAAGGGGAGTTGATTGTGATTTGAATTGGTGGAGTTGGAAAACTCCTGCATGGAGGATTAGATGCTGGAAAATAGCTAAAGGCAGAACTGGAAGGTTAATTTTTTTGGTTTTTTGAGACAGCATCTCACTGTATAGTTGAGGCTGACCGGAAACTCACTATGTAGCCCAGGCTGGTCTCGAACTCACAGCGATTCTCCTGCCTCAGCCTCCCGAATGCTGGGATTACAGGCATGTGCCACCAAGCCCAGCCTGGAAGGTTAGTTTTAAACTGGTCTCAAGTACCATTAGAATTCTGAAGCTTGAAGCACTGGAAAAGGGAAGATAAGGCTAGGAAGATGAGTTTGGAGTCATGCTAAGGAGTTTGATTTTGTGCACTCTTCAGTGGTGATCACTTGTTTCTAACTTGTATAGGATGTGAGGCACACTGGTTGTGCTTGATGGTGACAGTGTGTTAAGGTTTGTATCAGTTAGCTTTCCCATCACTGCATACAATATCCAAACCCCATACCTTAAAGGAGAAGTTTTATTTAAGTCATGTTTCAGGAAATTAATATTGGTCAATGGGCTCCACACCAGGAAGTTCATGGCAGAAGGCCATGGTGGAGCAGAGTTGCTTAGTTGTGGCTCGGAAGGAAAGCAGAGCAGAAGGATCGTGCCATGGAGGAATGGGCTGGGGACCATGTAAAGTGCCCACGGTCACACTTCTGTAACCCACCCAGACACATCACAGATAAGCATTGACAGTCATGAGGCTACTGGGGCAGGTGTAAGAATGGTGAGGGAATGGAGGCCAATGTACAATCTTTCAGCTATTTTCCTTTGTCCTTTCATTTATTGCTTCTATTTTTTTATTTATCCATTAAAGACATAGTGTGTCATAGATTGAGAAATACAGAATCTAGAATCGGGTCACTCTTAGGGTGAGACTGCTGATGTGTGACATTCACAAGATTTTTAAAGCTGAGCTTCAGTTTTTAATTCATAAAATGGGGATAATAAGAACTAAATTTTAAGATGATTTCTTAATGTGTTTGTTAAAGTACTTGGCACACAACAGATGCTTAATGTTCATTATTATTAAATTATCTTAGAATTTATATGCCTATCTTATTATGAGTCCCTATGTTAATCAGTTTATTTCTTTTTCTCAGTATCATTATTTGCTACTTGATGACATTGATAACATCCCTCAGCACTGTTGGAAGACTATGATTAGAATTTTTAAAATTCACCAAGTTTAGTCCTTTAAATAACATGCTTGTATATGCAATATTATGGTTTTTATAACTGAAAAATTACCGGTTAATAACCAAGACTCAGAGGTCAGGTGTTGGAGCTGAGTACTACCAATAGCAGACTATGGACCTTTCCTTACCTCAACCAAGCCTAGAATTCTTTCCAGAAGCCTAATCCAGAAACGTTTCGAGATATTTGATTGAGGAAAACAACTTTTGGCTTGGTCCTTCAAGCAACCACTGCTGCTGTGGGGAATTTATTTAACTTTGGAATAAAGGATGATCTTTTGTGTGGTGACTCCAATGAAGGAGACTCCACTGGCCATAAAGATATCTTTCTAGTTATAGAAAATTTAGTAGCTACATGAGGCTATGGATAAATCCTATGAAAGAATGTGAACAAGGAAGAAGCAATAGTATTTTTGTGACTTTTTATTGATGTATAGAAGTAATATTTGTGCTTTAAGTGTTTTTCACAGTCTACAGGAAAATTATTTTATTTTAATATTGAATTTAAGGCGCGATCAGTTTCAAAATTAACTGGTCCAAAATGAATCTTACCCTTTTCTTCACCAAAGTCATGATTTCTTCCAACTATTGTGGCATACCTTAAAGTTCTAAGCTTAAAAGCTTGAACTAATTTTCATTTCTACTCTGTTGATTTCAGATGGGGGACACGGAATTAAAAAGATTAAGCTGAAGCATAAGCAAACTGAGATGTTATCATAATGTAGTGCTCAAGCCCACCCTGGAGGCCTGTGCCCAGAGCCTGGCCTTGAATCAGGCCTTGGGTCCCCTGGCTTGCCTCAGGACCGTGTTCCTCACAGAGAACCAGAGCTGGCAGAGACAGGATGGGTGGAGAGGACTGTGAGAAAGGGGAGAGGCAGCGGGCATGAGCACCAATGACTGTGCCCACTCTAGCACTGGATGTTACTAGTGTCGTCGATGAGATAATATATTGACACATTTAGGCTCTTGCCTTTATATTAATTAGAATACATTTGAATACTGATGGGATAAACTATTTGTAATGTATATATTTTTGTTCAGGAATATTGTAAGAAAATGTGCTCTCACAAGAGTGATCAACCCTATCTTATTCCTCACAGTTGAGATCAAGGAGAAATGGAGAGCACCAGGTACTTTAGTACACACTTCCATAATACAATAACTCAGCTCTTGAGTGCTATTCTCATGTTTTACAATTTATGAGTTGCACCAGACAACTTTCAATGCAGTCTTGTCTCTTGAGGTAAACTTTCTCTTGTATTTAGTAAGAAATCACATGTTAAGTATATTAAGCAAGTTTTCTTTTGTTTTATACTTTTGCTTTTAAGTTTGGAACTCTTTTTTTTTTTTTAACTCGAATTCCTTATGTCATCTCACAGGCTTTTTCTACTTGGCTAATTAAAATGAAGAGCAAATAGATATTTCTCATTTCCCCATAGACACAGGTTTGCTTGCCTGATTATCTTGTCCACCTCTTTTTTGAAGTAGCCACAGCTTTACTAGCTCTATTTTCTTTCACTTTTATTTGTTCATAGTCAAAATTAATCCTTATGAGTTTCAATTTCAAGTATACATTTTTATTAAGTAATTCACTTTGTATTAACTACCAAGGCAATTTAGACATTTAACCATATCTTGTTCTGTCCATTATAATAACCCTATTTTAATTTTTCTTTCTTTTTTAATGCATCCCAAAGTCCCTTAGTTGCTTTTTAACCACAGCAACTCTGTGAAGAGGTATGTATCTGTTCTTTTTCCATAGAAATATTTCACCACTTTTATTGGGTGATTCTTGATGGATATTTGAGAACACTGCATTACAGGGGGATTTTGAGTTACCACACCTTCTGGAGGTGGCTCAGGATGCTATAGTGCTGGGCCTGACATTACTCAGAGAATATCAGAAGACAGGGTTCCCTCTCCAAAAGCATATGCAAATCAACCTTTCAAATATACTGTAGCATGTTTTAGTGAATGGTTTTGAAACTGATCCTATATCATTGCCTTTTGAGGGACATAATTTCATATTTATTTACTCACTCACTTGTATCTTTTCTTAATTTGAGACACAAAACATGTTCTAACTACCGCATTTAAAAAATAGTTTTTTTTAAAGTTTACTATTTTAAAATAAAATGTTAAAAACAATGTTACACAAATCAGTATTTAACAATATTCATTAAGTGTTAATATAATTTTCCATAAAATAGATTTTCTATTGAACAGTACAGCTAAACTAATTGCTTTTGCTTAGATTTGGAAAATGGGAACTAATAGGAGTTGCATATTTAGCATTTTTTTCTGCTTATACCATACAAATGTATTTTGCAAAATACTTTTGATACCTAATTAGCATTGTATTGCTTTGTAGGTATGGGACACAATCACTGGTTACTCTAATATGTATAATAGGGAGAACCATAAGTACAGATCTACAGATCATGGAGGTAAGAACCTTAAATATTGTAAAATATAATGATAATTTAGAAAGTATTTTTGATATAATTTGGAGTAAAATTAAGTCATATGTTTATTTGAATTATTGCAATCAGTACTTTTATTGTTCTTCTTATCACCATTCAGGAGGTGGGTGTTTAACTATATTCTTGCCTTGAAATAGATTGCTGTATTTGTTTTGTTTTGTTTTTTTGGTACTGGGGATTGAACTCAGGTCCTTGCGCTTGTGAAGCAGTCACCAGAACCACTGAGCTAATAAATCCCTGGCCCTAGATTGCTCTATTTATGGAGGTTGGACTTCATCCTTTCCACTGTATCCCTTTAGTGGTCTCTTCTCCTCATCCAAGCCTTCAGCTTGGTGCTAGCCATTGCCCACTCCACTCATTAGCTTTTTATGGTTTTTAGAAGAAATTTAACAGCTGTTTTGATTCACACATGAAGCCCTTTATGATCCGGTCTCTGTTTTGTTCTGTGATTCAGATATACCACTTCACCTTGGAATGTTGGAGAGCAAGAGAGACTGACAGATACCCCTAATACTTTTCCTCTAGCTATATGTATCCTTTTGGGGTTCTGCTAAAGTTCATGCTTTCTAGACTTCTGAAACTCTGTACCTTCTGTGTGGGGTACCATCCCCATCACTGATCTTGGTTGGATAATTCCCAACCACCTATTTTAGGAATTTTTTTTAGTGAATGGATTTGTACACTTCCTCCTCAATGCCCCAAATCATCCTATCAATATCTTCATCATAGCATTTACCACATTATTCTTTAATCAGTGTGTAAATATTCTGTCCTGTAAGATATTGCAAATTCCTTGAGAACTGACACTGTATCGGCCATATTTATATATTAGTAAATGCAGGGATTACTATTTCTTCTATTTGCTTTCCTATGGGCTGAATTTCTTCTAATGCAGGATTCACAGGGAAGCAAGCATAGCCTCAGGCTTACACAACTCTCAGCATCCTCAGTTGCAGAAGGAGGGATGCTTTCTTACCCAGCTTCATGTTCTCATTCTGGAAAAAAAAAGACTTTTGCTTGTCTTGGTGTAAGTCATTGTATGTGTATGTGTGTGGGAGGTGGAACACTCATTGGCTCAACCTGGATCATATGCCAACTCTTGGAGTCAGCCCGGTTTACACCCCAAGCACTGGGAATTGGGGAAGTATAAAACAAGAAAACATATGTAATTTTCACACGCCCAGTAGCATAGGCAAGTCACAGAGATTTATAGTACCAAAAGTTGGCAAAAATGTGGAGCAGTTGTAATCCTTTTATCTTGCCGGGGATTGTGGGGGCAAAACCTGGTACAGCCATTTTGGGAACAGGTAGTTTTTAAAAAATGTTAATCAGATACACATGACATAAACATTCTCTTTTAGATATTTCTTTTTTTCCTCAAGAGAAAGAAGACCTGTCTTGTACATGCATGTTCATAGTAGCTTTATTCATATTACTAAAGAATTGGAAGCCATCAGGTCAAGGGCTTAGGAAGAGGTAATAATAACCACACAGTGGAATATTACCCCCAAACAAAAAAAGGAATAAATCTGTTTAGCCACACAGATCAATCAGGCTGAGTAAGGGAAACCAGTCACATTTTGAGAAATGAAAACTCATCCAGAGTAATAAAAGACAGATCAGTGGCTGCCTGGGATCCAGGGAGAGAGCTGCATAATGTCATGAGGGAGTTTTTTGGGGCAAGGGAAATGTATCCTGTCTAGACTGTTCCTATAGTTTCAAACATCTATGCTATATCAAAACTTATTATGGTTTAACTTGATATAGTTTATTATATGTGAATTATATTCTGATAAAATTGTTTAAAATTAAACACTAGGGCCTGGTACTATATTAATAAGTACAGGAAGGGGCTGAATAAACGAGAAAAAACCTCACCCCTCCCCAAGCAAATAAATAAGTGTGTAGGTCCCAAGGCCTGAAATTTGATCTTAAGACTATAAGTCAAAAATAAATAAATAAAAATAAAGGAGAAGCAGTATGTTATGTAGTTGTGAAAATAAAAGAGGGAGAACTGCTAATTGCCGAAGGAATTATCTTTCTTTGGATTTTGGCCTCCCTGCGGCTGCGATGTCAGGATCAGATGGGTCAGGGACTCCCTGGGGAAGAAAGAACACACACACACACACACAGACACACACACACACACACACACACACACACACACTCACAACATGCTGGGAATGAAAGTTCTCAGGATCAAGATGAATCTGTGTTTGCTATCTTCTTTTTGCTAATGTATTATGTATTTTCTATATTTTTATTAGTGCCTACTAATTTTATAAAATGTTGGTTTTCAATGTGTTATTTTCATACATGCATAAAAAGTATTTTATTGTATCCACTATGCTTGTATCTTCTAATACACACAGTTAATATCTGCCTTTACAGAATCCAGTTTTGTTGTTTTTGTTTAACAAATGAATGAATAAAGCTTGTATAAATTTAGCAATCTTCAGTGTTCCAAAACTCTACAGTCACATTTGTTTTTAATGCAAAAACAGATTTAGCAATAGTTAGAAAATTGCAATTTTGAAAACAAATTAGCTATAACAAATATTTTTGTCAACAATGTATCAATGTCCAACAGTCTTACTAGTTCACATCATTTTACAGGCCAATAGCTAAATAGATGCTAAAATGGCGAGACATAAAGTGATCATCTGAGTCCCTTTTCCCTCTCCACCCTCCCAGCTCTCACAACTCCACGACTCCACAACTCTGCCCTTGGTCTTTATGGCTTTCCCTGCCAGAAACTCAGTCTCACTCGTGCCCTTCAGCACGGATGGAGTTTCCCTGAAGTCCCACAGGCTCCCCATACCACAGCCACCACTCCAGCAGTCCTATCATGGACACATCACCTGGGCCATGGAGCTGTGCGTGTGTGTGGCTTCCACCTCTTGGCAGGTGTGGGCAGGGAAGGCAAGAGTGAGAGGATTGCTTCTAGCTCTATAACCTAGTTTCTCCTAGAATTTACTTTTCTTTTACATTGTAATTAGCCATGCAGGCCCTGTTGCTATTCAATTTCAAGTACATCAGGGTTTAAGTGAGCATCAGTGATGTGGTAATAGGTACTCTATTACAGTGGTATGCGTTGAGACTAATGCACTGATGCAGAAATAGACTTTTGGAAGATAATTCATTATTCAGTTTGGGTCTGGCTTATACATAATATGGTAGCAAATGTTCCAATAACTAAACCCTTAACCTGATCCAGTTACAGAATTTAACCAGTGGATGAATTCACTGTCAAAATAAACTTTTTAAAAATTCCTTTAAAATTTTAGCTAACACATACAAATTATATATATTTGTGGGATACCCTGTGATTATACATTGTGCAATGTTCAAATCAGGACAGACTTATATAGTGCCTCATTATCTTCTCAGTTACCATTTCTTTATGGTGAAAGCATTCAAGATCCCTCCTTCTAGCTTTAAAAGATGCCATACATTATTGCCTATTATAGCCACCACTTATAGTTTTGGTGTACAACAGAACACCAGAACTTCTTTTTCCCATCCAACTATAACTTAGTGATGATTAATCAACTTTTATCTATTCCGGTCTCTCCCCTGCTGTCTCCCAGCCTCTGGTAATCATCATTCTACTCTCAACTTCTGTGACATCAACTGTTTTTAGATTCCACAAATGAGTCAGATTATGCCGTATGTGTTTCTGTGCCTGGCTTATTTCACTTAACATAATGATCTCCAGTTCCATCCATGTTGTCACAAATGGCATTTCATTCTTTTTTATTGCTGAATAGTATATCGTTGTGCATATGTCTCACATTTTCTTTATCTAGTCGTCAGTTGATGGACATTTAGATTGTTTCCATTTCTTGGCTATTGTGAATAGTGTTACAATAAAAATGAGAGTGCAGATGTATCTTTGATAAACTGATCTCATTTTCTTTGGATATAAACACAGTAGTGGAATTGTTGGATAACATGGTGGTTCTACTTGTTTAAGGCACCTTCTTGCTGTTTTCCACCATGTCTGAATTAATCTATATTTGCATCACTAATGTATACACACACTTCTCCACATCCTTTCCAGGACTTCCTAGCTCTTGTCTGGTTTTTGTTTTTGTTTTTAACTACTCATTCTAACTGAAGTTAGGTAAGACGGTTTTAATTTGCATTTCCTTCATGATTAGGTATATTAAGTATTTTTTTAGCATGACTCTTGGCCATTTGTAGATTTTCTTTTAAGAAATTCCTACTGTACTTGAAACTATCATTCACTTATGAATCGGGATTATTATCATCGTACTTATTTTGCTGTTGTGCTTTTGTAGTTCCTGATATACTCTGGTCATGGACCCCTTCTCAGAAGTAGATCTCCCACTCTCAAGGCTCTCTTCACATCCTCAATTGTTTGCTGTGTAAAAACTTTTAGTTTTATGAAATACCATTTCTGTACTTTTGCTTTTTTTCCTTATGTTTTGGGGGTTTTAGCCAAAAGAAAAATTCCTTGTTCATTTCAATATCTTGAAGCATTTATCCTGTGTTTTCTTCTAGTAGTTTCATAATTTCAGGTCTTATATTTAGGTTTTTTAATCCATTCTGAGCTGATTTTTGTCTGTGGTGACATCTAGGGATCTAGTTTCATTCTTCTTTACATACTTATCCATTTTCCCAGCACCATTTATTGAAAAGTCTATAATGCATGTTGTTAGCAACTTTGTCAAGTATCAATTGGTTGAGAATGCATAGTTGTACCTTTAGGCTCTTTGTTCTGTTCCATTGGTCTATGTGTCTGTTTTTATGCTAGTATCATGCTGTTTTAATTACTATAACTTTGACATACATTTAAAGGTAGGTAGTATAATGCTTCCTGCCTTGTTCTTTTTCCTCCAGATTGCTTAGGCTATTGGGGGTTTCTGTATTTCTATACAAATTTTAAAGATTGTTTTCTAGATTTGTGAGGAATGTCATTGGTATTTTGATAGGGATTATATTGAAACTTTAGTTACTTTGGGTAGTATGGGCATCTTACCAGTATTGATTCTTCTGAGCCATGAATATAGGATGTCTATTTATTTTGTAAGTTCTTTGATTTTTTTCTTTAGTATTTTATTTTTTTCATTATAGACCTCTTTCTCTGCTTTGATTAAAAATTTTACTAATTTTTGTTTTGTTTTGTTTATGTAGCTACTGAAAATGGGATGACTTTCTTGACTTTTTTCCAGTACAACAATTTTTTGTACTGGAATTTTTATAAAAGTTGATTTTGTATCCTGCAACTTTGCTAAGTTTATTAGTTCTAATAGTTTTTTTTTTTTCCTAGTGGAATCTTCAGGGTTTTCTGAAAATAAGACCATGTTATTTGCAAATAGTGACAATTGAGCTAAAACACTCAGAAATAAGTTCTTGCATACTGGACATTCTGTTCACATTTAATTCTTTGGAACAGGTGTGGTCCTCACCCCATTGTCTTCGTCACAGACTCCCCCAGGGCACACAACCTAGGAATAAACATTCCTCCTCACTCCAGACATCATCACTCCTTTGCAAAATCATGTTACCAATTGGCAAGAACTTTATTTTGTGTAAGTAAGAAGTGAGATCACACTGATAAAATGTCTCTCTGTCCTTCCAGCTGCAGAAATTTTTCAGTAACATGTTGGAGGAGCACCAGAGGATTACAGTTCATGCCCAATTACAGGCAATAAAGAATGAAAATCTCAAAAACAAAAAGCAAAATGCCAGGATAGCTGAGTGGCTTCAGAAAAATATATAGTTTGTGGCTACATCCAGCATACCACTTACATATTATAATCTCGTTTGCTCACAGGTTTGTTTCCCAATACTTTGTGGGTCCTGAGAACTGCATGTTTTCTTTGTATTTCAGTTACGTTCACTACTCAGAGTCATGTTGTTCCTATGTTGTCATGTTTGGCCCTGAGGCTTAGTGATTGATGAGGATTTGGTCAAAGCTGCTATATTTCTGAGGAAAACTATACTACTTCACATTGGGCAATAAATGCACAGAATTTATTTTAAATACCTTGCAAAAACAAATTTATCCAAGAAAGCTTTGCTAATTCTGTTGTGAAGACTGTAGAATATTAAATTATTGGCATTATTAAAGGAACATTCTTTTTGAGGAAAATACAGACTTGAAATACTCTAGGGTTTATTGAGTTCAATATTGAAAGACTAATGAGAACACAACATGACAGTGTGAAGATACAGAAACCAGAAAAACAATATTCACTAGGAGATACAAAAGCCAAAGAAAAGCAAGTTTCAAGGAGGAAAAGCAAACAATTTTATGATCCATATTAAGTACCCTAAAGACAAGAAATGTTCCACTTCTCTCTCCCACAAAACTTATTGCATTGAAGTGTATTTTGCTGGTACTGAATGTTATGAAATTATAAAATGACAAATGATTGTAAGGCCCATGAGATGCCTTTAGCACCGTTGTTGCAGTGGTCATTGTGGGGATGAAGGCTAGTCCCTGAAGCCTGTGTGATGATGTGTGGGGTGGGCACTCTTTCAGCTAGAGCTTATAAGGGAAAATAATGCTGTCAAAAGACAGCACCAAGTATGAGCTAATCTTTGCGAGTCTCACAGGGAAATCTTCAAATGAAGGAAAACAGAAATAAAAGGATAATGAGAGCATAATCCTTACAGTTTTGCTTTCAAAGGATTAAGTTTGAAATGTGCTTTCATTCAGCCAAATTGAATCTACTTGTAATGTGGATCAACTCAGTTTAAACAATTTCATCAATTGCAATGTATGAAATTAATTAAATTTTGTCACACCTGATTAAAACAGGACAACTGAGGTAAATCATTCCTACTGTAAAATTTGTGTATAATTAAATCCTTCTTTCTTACATCTTATTTTGTTTTTGTAGAATGGGGGTAAAAACTGCATACCTCCTATCTACCTCAGAATAATATTGTAACATGTATAGAATATGCTGTCAATTAATATTTGAAGATGTTATGTGAACTCAAGGAAGTGCAATCTAAGGCTTTTTCCTATTTCTAATATAAGTTAAGGCAGACACAAATTAAAGTACAATACAAACTCACCTTTATATTTCCTTCAGAAGCAGATGCTCCCTGCGTGTCAGCGGGAAGCTGTGAACTTCACTACGCTGGCAAAACAAGTTTCTACTCAGCCATAGGTCACAATGCAGAGGATGTTGTCTTTAAAGTTAGCAATGAATATTTTAATGGATGCAATATCTTCATGCCTTCAAATTGTTATGTATGATATTTTCCTTAAACATTCATCCTGTAGATCTGCATTTCCTCTGATAATCTCTCCTTTCAATGATGTTGTCTTCCTCTGACCTCTCAGTTGCTTCTCTCTTCTTTCTCTCTCTTCCTTCCATTTCTAGTCCCTCTCTTTGTCCGTTGGCCTGCTATGTGTTCCATTCTGCCTTTCCCAGTGACCTCTGCCTTCCCACTGTTGGCTGTCCTCTGCTCTCTCCTTGTCTTGTATTTAACTCTGCTCTGGGTTCAGCAAGTGCAGTTTGAGGTGGCACTTGGGGCCATGAGGGCTGTCATGCATGGTACTGGGCAACGCCAAATGCTGCCTGTCTATCGGGGAGAGTAAGTAAGCAGGCCTCTCCAACCTCTTCCAACCTGTTTGTATAACAGTCTTGTTATATCTTAGCTTCAGTAATAATTAAACAGTGTTGAAGGTGCTTCTCCAAAATCAAATACTTCTTATTATACCTTTATGCTTACTATAAATATAAATAATCATTGATTGATTGCTGTGGTAGCACTGAAGCAGTACAAGTGAGGGAGTAATACCAAGACAAATTTGTCCAAATGGAATAAATATTTTATTAACTCATAAAAACCAGCAAATCTATTAGCACTCCAAATATAAAACAGCTTCCCTGGCCCAGTCAGTTTAGTTTATACCATGCAGTTCAAAAACACTTAATAAAATATACAACATATTCATGATTTTTTAAAAATTCAGCCATTAGAAATTCTAGTTGTTCTCACAATTTTATGTTTTTTTCCTAGTCAAACCTACTCAGAGCCTTTCTATTGCTGACATCAAATACAAGAACAAATGCCTTGCTCTGACGTTTATAATCAATTGTAATTTAGATCTCTGAGGAAAATTTGTATGGCAACACATTAAGGAATGAATAAACAAGCAAAATAAGATTTCCCTTATCTTATTTTCTTTCTTTTTTTTGGTGGGGGTACTGGAGATGAAACTCAGAACCTTGGGCTTGCACCATTGAGCTAAATCCCCAGCCCTTCTTACCTTATTTTCTTAAGAATGCTCCTCTTAGTTACTCTTCCTGCTGAATCACTCTTTGCACTAATAAATGCTTGCTAGCTATTTTCCCCACCAAAATTCTAGCAGGATTAACGTCCAAAGCAAAGATTTAAGGAGAATTTAAAACTAAATATAACTGCCTCTCCTGCACAACAAATTAAGTAACATAGCAGCATTTGAAACAATATAATGCCTGTAGCTCACTTTTTTCTCTAATTCAACCAGACTTAGCAAAGATAATCTTTACAACACATATTTAGGAATATTTGGACTCTTCTTCATAAGCAAGTTAGTCATAAAGGCAAAAGAGAACAACAAGTAACCATCTACACCCATGGGAGCCAAGGAGTGGCTGTGGCCCCTGACCTGATGTGGGTATAGGAGCTGGACTGGGGTAAGGAAGTTCACCCAGGGGGAATCAGCTCACACAAGATGTTGAGCCTAAGCAGGGTGAATATAGGGACCACATGGTAGGGTGATGGGATTACAACATGGGGAGCCAGAGCCAAACAAGGCAAGAAGGACTTGAATGAGATGGGCTTTGAATTGTAGAGGCACCCAGAACAGGGAGTTCAAGTTCCAGAAAGTTAAGATGACTGGAGTTTGAGGAAAGGAATGGCCTAGCAATGAGGTATTAGAAACTGAGGAGAATGAAGAGGGAATGTAGAAATGCCCTCTGCACCAGAAAGGGAGAAGCAGAGACGGAAGCTTGGTTACCACAGGTATGTGGACCAAAGTGAAAAATATCTAAGTAATAACAGGATTCAGGTTTCTCACTACTGGGGAAGGGAGTTCCAGATAGTCAGAAGGAGGAAACTATAAAGAACTCTGCTTTTGGATTAGTATTGATGGGAACACATGGTTTTCAGTATACAGACAATAAAACAATATCGAAAGCAGGGATGGTGAACCTTTTAGAGATTTCAGTGATAAACAGCCCGCTGTGGCAGACGTGCTGTAGATTTGCAACCACTAATCACCACTGGTCACATTTTTCTCTTTATTTATCTATACATACATAGATAAAGGTGTAGATATAGACCCTAACTCTTCCACTCAGAGGACCTGGGAGCTTCAACTCTTTATTATGGATTGAATGTGCCCTCCGTTGAGCTGTGACCACCAAGGTAATGGTGTATGGAGGTGTTTGGTTTAGGAGGTGAATAGGTTCAGATGAAATTGTGCCAAAGCCCTGGTTGTGTGATTAGTGTCCTTTAAGGAGAGGAAAGAGATCAGAGCATATTCTCTCTCTCCCTCTCTCTCTCCTCTCTCTCCCTGTGTGTATGCTGTGGGAGGGCAGATGTCTGCCTACCAGGAAGAGAACTAACTCTCCAGGAGCAGAATCTTTTGGCCCATTAATACTGGATTTCCCAGCTTCCAGTCCTGTGACCAGTGCGTCTGCTGCTTAGGCTGCCCTAGTCTGCTATACTTTGTTATAACAGCTCAAGCTAAGACAACCCTCATAACCAGTGCCCACTTGAGTTTGAAATGCCGTTCTCCACTTTAAAAAAAAAAAAAAAAATTCTTTGGAGAAATTACTAATTTCAGGGCTGAGGCAGGAAAGGGACCATTGTGGGGTATCTTTTTATACCAAAAAGCAAAGGAGTGTTTAAAGAACATAGCAAGAGGGCATAAAAGCAAGCTTGAAGAGACCTCCTGTGGCCAAATTTAGGAACACTTGGTATCTTAATAATAAAGCCAGTAAGAGAATAACATAAGACACAGGTCTGGGCCCGCCTGCCGGTTCTCCCCGGCAGCGTGACGGGCTTCGCCGCCGAGGGGTGGGGCGGGTTCGGGGTCCCCGGCGCAGGCCAACCGCAGGCCGCGGCTGACGGAAACCTCGTAGGATCTTGGCGTCTGGACCCAGGAGCCGAGGGCCAGCCGCGGCGCCTCACTGCAGTGCACGCCGCAGATGTGACTGGAGGAAGCGCTGGGGTGGGGTCCCCGGAGTCTGAGCAGAGGGCGTGAGAGGCGCGGGGTGACCAGCCGTGCAGTGCGCCCTGGACGGAACCTAGCTGGTCTGGCGTGTCGTCCATTCCCCCTCACCTGGTGGGGCCGTGTCCGCGTTCAGCTGTACTGAGGACCACCGGCCCGGTTTCCAGCCTTACGGGCTCTGCCATGTGAAAATGTGAAAGGGGCAGTCGGAGGCATCTTAATGGCTTGGTCTTGCTCTGAAAGGACAGGCGGGTCCTCGCCGGCCAGACTAGAGTAAGGGAGGGAAGGTGTTCTGGGCAGAGGAGCACCTAGTGAAGGCCTGGAGTCAGGAGTGCGGGGCTGTGTGAGAAACGGTAGTCTTCCCCCTCTGGGGTGGATGGGAGTTGGAAGAGGTCACGGCGCCGGTTGTTAGTGGAGATTGAGGAGGTGTTCCGTGGCTTGCGGAGCTGTTCCGTGGCGCACCACTTGCTTTGACTGTCTTTGGAGCCCGACTGGCCTTCCTTCCACCCCAGTGGTAAGGAAAGGCATGGTCTTGGACAATGTGACTTCAAAATGTTGCTCGAGGAAACGCTTCTTAACTTTGTTGTCTTAGTATGTTTTCTATTTATGCAACCAAGGGACGGTCTTTGAAAATTTATTTTGAGGGTATTCTTATCAGCAGTGGGATGCTATTGAATGAAAATTTATTTATTTATTTTCTTGTACTGCAGATTGAACCCAGGGCCTCCACACAGAGCTACATTCCAACACTTTATTTTATTTATTTATTTATTTTTTTGACATGGATACAAAGTCTCCCTAAATTTCACTAAGTTGCAGGCTGGGCTTGAACTTGCAGTCTCTTGCCTCAGACTACAGAGAGAAGGGGTTCACAGGCCTGCGCTGCCACCTCTTACTAAACATACTCTCTAAGTTTCTGGCAAACATGTGTCACTGTCTGTGGATCTGGAGCTTGTGAGAGGTCGTCACTAAAGATGCTGGTTGCCACCATAGACACTCGCATGCTGTCCTTTTCCCTGTGAGATTGTGAGCAAGAGGAGGCTGAAGTAGTTGGAGCGGGCCAGTGATTGATAACGTGGGTCTTGTTCCATGACCTGGGGTGGCCTGGCATTACCTGCAGTTCAGCAGAGTGTGGGAGGTGTACCAGCCGGGAATTTGTGTGCATCTTTGGGACCTAGTTAGGGTTTGGGTCGAGTTGTCCCCCCAAAGCCTCATGTGGTCATAGGCTGAATCTAGAGTGTGTGAAGCTGGAATTGACTCATGGTGCAATGCTAGGCTCAAGGGCACTAGGATTAAGGGTGTGAGTGCTACCCACCCTAAGTAGTCTGAATATGATAAAAGGGCCTAGGAAAGTTGTTTCAAAATGGCAGCTACAGAATGTATTCCTTGGGACTGGGTTCAGAGTGCTAGGTGATCCAGGCACTCTACCCTTACAGCCAAGAGAAAAGGAAGCCTGGCTACTGTTCCAGCTGGCAGAAGACTTTGGCATCATCCATGTGGTGCTGGTTTTAGGTGCACGCATAATGCAAGAGTTGTGGGGTCAGGAAGGTTTCCACTCAGACTTCAGAAGAGGGCCTGGGAGGCCAGGCAGGGTGACCCTGAGAGATCAGCGAGTGAAGCTGTGAATGTGAAGCTGAAGGTGCAGTGGAGACTCAGAAGTTTGGAGAAGCCAGGAGCGTGGATCATCTGAGGAGAGCTGCAAAGAATGAACTGAATCAGCCCAAGAGCTGTTGTGAGGGTCCAACCACCAGAAATGCCATAGAGGCAGAGCCCTTTGAAATTCACAACTTGCCACAGATTGCCTCTAATTGTAGAAGTGGAACTGTGGAATGTAATATTTGCCCTGCTGTATTTTGGACTTAATTTGGTAATTTTCCTTTGTATCCTCCTGTTTGTGCCTGTTGGAATGGTAATGTCTATCTCCTTCCATTGAATGTTGGACATATTTAACCTTCTTTTCATTTACACAGGGGTTTGCAGTAAGAGTTTGAGGAGACTTTGGATTTGGATTTTTCAGCAATGCTAAAACTATTAGGACTTTTGGCAACTCTTAGAGATGGACTGAATGCCTTTTGAATAAAGAATGTGCATGAGTCTTTGGGGAGCCTATAGATAGCATGTTATGGTTTGGGTCTAGATGTCCCCTAAAGCCTCATGTGGTCATAGGCTGGATCTAGAGTGTTTGAAGCTGGAATTGATTCATGGTGCAATGGGGGCTCAAGGGCACTAGGATTAGGGATGCTACCTTCCCTAAGCAGTCTGAATAAGATAAAAGAGGCAGGGAGATGCTGTTAACCTCTCTTGCTATAGCTATTGTGTGCACCATGTTGTTTCTCCTCTGCAATGCCTGTTTGGTATCCCTGCCTTGGAGCCATCTGATTATGGACTGAAACTTCTACAAACTTTAAACCAAATAAACCCTTCCCTTAAAAAAAAAAAAAGTCTGTATTTATATATTCAAATAATAAATACAAGTTTTAATGAAGAAAAAAGATATTTACATAATATTAAGGTGCTTTTCTACAAAATACTGATTAGTGATGAAGAGAAAGTAAGGAATTTACAGTGAAAAGGCCTAGCAGATATCACCTTACTCAACTGATTAATTTGAACATCAACATGAGAGAAATAAAATTTTTGTTCCCTTAATGAAATAAAATGACAAAAACTGCAGCATTCCTTTTCTTTTTACTTTTTTATAATTTTAAATGAAGCACTGCTAATCATTTTTAAACTCTCTTACCAATTTCGGAAGAGAAACACCATCAAGAACTCTCTGCTGATGCAAAATAATGATATTCAGTCCTCCAAAATCCCAAATTTAAGATTCACAAAATAAAACAAAAAAACCACTCAGCTATAAAAAGTAATGAAAAGCACATTCTAGGGGCTTAGTACAGTTTGTAGTCTTTGCTGTACTAATTGTCATTCAGA